GTTTGGGAAAAATACCTAATTTTGGCAACATGATTTCAGCACTTTGCTCTGGTATATATTTTTCAATGTAATTGGACATCGCCGTATGATGTCATGGTTAAATTCATTGTCATATATATATAAGAATTCATTTAAGAAAATAAATACCATCCATGTTTGGTTGAGCTAAAAATCAAATTTTAAGAAAATATGCACAAAAAAGCATGTTTTTTTTTGGTGGGAAAAGCATCAAAAAACAACATATGCTTTCTTTTGTTATAGAATAGTATAGATCGATGAACATTTAGACTCTAGATGAACGTCATTATTCAATGATTAATGAATATGCAACGATCAATTCAAAGTATGGTTCTCAACCTATTTCTCCGATAGAGTCATCTAATTTGTAGCATTCTTGTTCACCATTAGATGGTCTCTAGACATTAAAAAATGCACTCACGACGCTAATAATTAGAGTGGATTTGATTCTCATTAATTGAGAAAAAATGAGTTTAAAATAGTATTTTTATGAGAATGTATGGATAAAAAGTAGGAATTTTTTTTTGATGTACGTGTAAAATATTTTATCGTGTGAATGTACAGTTCAAAATGATTTTGTAGCAAACCATAACATAAATTAATGGATGGCAAACATGCACTTAGTTGGGACCAATAGTGCAACTAGAAACTATTTCATTTTCCATACTTGAAAATTGATAACAAACACACATATTAAACGACATTGTTTTCTATCAATTTACTCCCAAAGTATATACACATCATTCAATTGATCGACATCTTGTTTTCTTTGTTGATCATCCACATGCATTGCTGAGTTTCTGCAAAGAAAATTAGAACAAAATTGTACATGTGTCATTATAATAAAAATCTATCATGCTACATGTACAGGGTAGGGGTTCACAGAAATCCCACCGATAACTCACATATGGGAGGTAATTTTTTTTACTTTCTTATTGAGGTGGGTCCCGCTCATGTGACAGGGTCCCCTACCCTTGTACACAGAGATTAATTCAATAAAAATATCCCTAGATGTAAAATCACAAATCACGTCCCATATACATATACGTAACATTTTACTTAATCAGAAATTGGAAAATTGTGATGATGATGTTTGACAGCTTGAGAACATAATAAAATGTGCAGATTTACAAGATTTCAGTAAGATTAGAACAATTCAGCTCAAATTTCAACTAAATGACCAACCGGTTATCATTATTATAAGATGATAACATCATTCGACTCAAAGTTGTACAAAAGTGAAATTTGTTATTACCATTATCTTTCTTTTAGTGGCAAATGTTGTATTTCTTGAATAGGACAACTTTTCAAATTGTTGTTGAATCCATGGGCAGGCAAAGACAGGCTAAAAATAGTCCAGTTTTTTATAGATATCAATGAAAATCACGGCAATTCCATAGAGAAAATTATCAAGATTTCGTAATTCGCAGTCGAACTTATTCCAATTCCAAGAGCTCAGATCGAATCGGCATATTCATTTGCAATTTTCCATATTTTTCTCCCTCGGTGGAGATTTAAGAAATAAAAAGTTGTTTGAAAAAACAAAATTTGCAGTTGAAAGCCAGATTTGATAAACTAGAAAGATTGATTCTAGTCCAGCTCTGCCTGTGTCAATTTTGTGTCAAGTTTGGTTACAGGCTAGTTGGCTTGAATTGGCTCGATCGTCCGTGGTGGAGCCAAGAATTGAATTTAATGGAGCCTAATTTAACTACGAAAAATAATTTCAAACATAAATACAACAATATAATTAGAACTAAAAAGAATAAAAAGTCATTTAATTTTTTTTTGGCTCAAATTTCAGTTGAGCCAAGGACTCCACTGTCCCCCACTTGGCTTCGTCACTGTGTATTTGGGTAAGATATTTGCAAAAATAAAGTTCAAGGATGGAAAAAATTGAAGATTTTTGTTTTCGGACGAAAAAAAAAAAGAAAAGAAAAAGGCTCTTTGAAGGCCCTATATAGTATTATCAATAAAGCTACTTGTACAAAAAAAATTTGACAAAAAGGTTTACAAACCCTCACATGAGCCGACCCCACATGAATAAAAAATTGGGAAAAAAAATATTGGGGGCCCCCCGATGTGAGGGGCCGGTCAGCGTGTTTGTCACCCTGACTGGTACACCTAGCTCGGTCCATTATGCATATGAACCTTTTGATAAAAAAGAGGTTGGAATGAAGTGATATTGATTGAATTTTTGCAGGAAAAAGGAGCACATTTATCCAATGCAATGTACTTGTCTAGGCGCTTCTTTTGTACAATGGGAACAAGACAAATGAAACAAGAAAAAACCAAATACTAAGAGATGAGAAGAAACCTAGAAATGTTCATGCACTTAATAATATGTTGTCCTCAAGATAAGTGGCACGTCTTAGCAGGCAATATGCATGAGCTAGGCCCATAGAATATGTCCCATTGTGTGTAGGAGTTAAAAGGGTACTCTCGAGTGATTGCTCGAGTGATGGATATATGATTTTCGGTAATAACATAAATGTATAGTCTAAAGATTAAGTTTTCAAAAGAAATCATGAATCTTATAATATCAACTACTCGTGTCCTTTGAATAGTTTTTTTCAAATAATTATGCTGTTGACAATAGGTTGATAGGATAATGATCATGCGAGCGGCTCGACGCTCCTAAACTTTAAAATGTACATATTGTAGTAGTGAAATGTTTTTACTAAATTCCTGCATATGAATGTATGTTAATCTAATAATTACTCAATAAAGTTAAAGTAGGTTAATTGTAATAATTTTTTCCAATATGATGTGTACTAAAATATGCCATATCTTTAGCGACTGTAAAAGACAATATTATTTTTGATCTCTCTTTTTTCTAACATATTATACGAATAATATTAGAAAAGAGTTTGTTCAGAGTCTACCCATTATAAGTTCAATTAATTTCTCAGTTTATCTTTAGTCGGACTTACTACATGAGATATTTATTTTGTGATTAACTATGTTGTTGCAAATTCACTTTAAATCGCTTGGCGGTCCACCTTAACCCGGTCACATGAGCCTTTTGGTCGAAGGACTTGACATGTCGCTTGAAACATTGACCCAACCAACCAATAGATATAGGTTGGAATCAGGCCACGTGATACATTATAAAAAAAATCATCATGACATAGACGAGAAAGCATTCCCCCTTTAATGACCACACGGTCAAAACCAACCAATCAAGAGGAAGTTATGATGTCTTAAGTCGCAGGCCTAATGCCCAAGTATCATGATCGTCCGTTACAATCGAACTATCCAATCAATCAAATCTCTTCAAAATGGGTAGTAGCACAAAGCCCTATGTCAGATACCGTAACTTGACATAGCTAGGACAATAAGCTCGTATCCGATAATCTACATAAAGGAATGAAATGCAAGTGAAAAGGACCGAATTGAGAAATTCCCCTCTATTACTGCTATACAATTTTAGTAATACTACGTCATTACCCTGCTTAAATTTCATCAATAAATCACAACTATTTCATTCAAATTTCTTGAAATTGATCAAGAAATATCGAGTCATAGTACTCTAAATATCCGTTTGAATTTCAAATGTTGGGGTGAAGAAGGAAGGAAGGAAGGGGAAGAAAATATTATATATAACTGAATGCAATTAAATTAAGTAAATATTGTAATAATAAAGACAGGACAATGTGGTTCTCCACGCAGGTTTGGTACACGTTCCCTCATGCCTTCTGTTTACACGTTCATAGACATCAATTTTATTGATTAGGGCTACTCACTCACATTATTCAAATTTCCTAAGTGAAGACCTGACCGTTAAAATTTTTAAAAAGTTGACATTAAAATGAATAAATAATTATAATGCGACGTTATAAGGAATTAAAAACATATATTTCCTTATGTATTAATTACATAATTTTTTATTCAAACAAACTGATAAAAATAAATATAAATAATCAATTTGATTCTCTCACCCGATACAATTGTGAAATACGAAAAATTTGAAAAATCTCATCGATTATTAATTGCATTTGTAAAAAAAAAAAAATTATTTTCACATTTAAATTTGGAAATAAAAATAACCTTTTACACACCACGCTCCAAATTACCGTTAAATTTAAGAGCGTGGGGAAACTTTTACAATTTCATGTAAATAAAAGGACTGTTCATACAAATAAACGTTAGAGTTAACGGCAAAAAAATTCCCTTTCGTATAAATAAAATCAAATGACTGGTTTGTGCACCCCATTTCTCTCGTACAGTCAAAGTGCATCAGTCTCTCTCTCTCTCTCTCCATCTCTTATTATTACACGTTCTACAGAAGGATTCAACACTGATAGATAGATTGATAGATACATTGTTCCTGCATCATAGCTGTACGAAGTAAGAAGGTAATTTTTCTTTTATAAGAATTTTTATAAATATATTTGAATGTTGTTCAAGGTGTGTGTTTGTGTCTTGATTTCTGGATTTGTTGTTTGGGGAGAGTTTTTTCGAAATGAATTTTTGTGGAAATAATTTGATTTCATTACCTTTTTTTTTTTTTTTCTGGTTTCTATTATAGTCTTCTTTTGGAAGTTTTAATGTTTATTTTGATCTTCGCTTTTCCTTAATTTCTCCTTTTGGATGAGATGTCAATTGTCAAAGCAAAGAGTGATTGCAAGTCACCTTTTTTGAAAAAAAAATAAATATTAATGTTGGAAGCATCTGTAGATTGCTTGTTGGAAGGGGTTGTGGAAAATTAACCCCACAAAATTCAACAAATTCACCTTATACTTGATATTTTGACAAGTAAAATGTGAATTCTGATGAAATTTTGCAGGCATGGAATGGTATATATCTATTGGCTCTGAGTTTATGTTGGAGTGATGATGATAATTAATGGCTTTCAATGATATGTAATATGCTTGAGTGAATTATAAGCATTTGTTGATGAATTATGATCAGATAGGTGTATTATTTGATCTTGGAGACGACTATCATTGTTGAGATTTGAAATCGTATTTAGTTTTCAAACAATGGCTATGGGTTTGCATAATATATCGTCCATTCATTCTTCTTTCTTTGGAGAGGCTCAGCCTCCACTGCCAAGTCAGTGGGGTGAGCAACAAGATATGCCTAGCCCACGGGCATCTTCTCTCTTACAAATATGGCGAGAGCTTGAGGGTGAGCATGGGGTGTATCGTTCTTGTAAACCAAGGGAACAGAGGAGTGACAGTTCAGATTCTGACCGATCAAGCACTCTCACCTTGGATCGGCAAGGGAGTGATAAGGGGGATGATACTTCTGAAGCAGCCATCGAGATTGAGAATCAAGTCCGGATAGGATCAGATAACGAGCAAGAGGATAATAACAGTACTATTACGGAACAATCTACTGATTTGGGAGAAGTTGAACGTGAAAGAGTTAGGCAAATTTTTCATGAATGGATGAAAGGTGGTGCTAAGAGTCATCCACCTAATGCTCAGCTTAGAAGCATCTCAAGGCCCCAATGGCTCGGTGAGAATGAGTGTGAAAGGGTGAGAACCGTTAGAGAATGGGTGCAGATGAATACCCAACAGAGAAGCAGTTGTTGCTCGCATATAGATGGAGACAGTGAAGTTGGTTTTCAGATTGAACAGATGCACGATGAATTGTCAGTCAACCATTCCAACCTTGGTGCACGGAGGCCTATTCGAAGATTATGTGGTAGACAGACTCTTCTAGATCTTTTGCTGAGGGCTCAGAGCGAAAGGAAAAGGGAACTACTGAAATTGTCCGAGTGCAGGCCAGTTTCAGAATTTCCTCATCGTAATCGCATTCAGGTGATTATCATTAATGATTTTGCTGTAATTCATTAAAGCATGAGATCTATTTTTCTAGTTCATAAAGTGTTATATAAGCTGTCAACCTACAGCAAACTCTCCTTTACCCAAGCTTGGAACCGGCTATGAAATACGTAGGTGGATTTTGGTTCTTATTAAATGCAGAGCAATTGTGACTTGTCTCCTTAGAATCATCAAGGTCTAATAACAGTGTATAAACTTGAGGAGACAGTAAGTCTTGGTATGGACATGAAGACCATTTAAAAGCTAATTTTGTTACTTTTCATTGATTCATTCCTCTCTAATTATCTCAATTTATTGGAAAATTACGAGAGGCGGAGTGTGAAACCATTGTCAAAGCAAAGAATTAAACACAAAAATGTAAAAATGGTGATCAACATAAAACAACAAAATGATAGAGTAAACCCAGAAACATAGGAGGCTTGAATACATCCGACACGCTGTCCAGAAGCCGTATTTGCCCCCTCCCGTCCTTGAGATTGCTTATGGGTATCACCGGCAAATATCTCCGAGGTTAAACGAGCCTTTTGAGATATTATACACCAAGCACAAGTGTACAACTCTTAGAACACAAAGAACTTCAGGAGAAAATCTGAATTTTGATTTCATATCTGGAAGGATTTTATTCATACTACACTTGTATATATTTATGGTTGTTACTTATATATTTATTCCGTCCAAAACCATCTATATATATAGATGTAAACACCCCAATCACAAATGGACGTGAAAGTTGGAGAAAAGACACCTTTTTACACAAAATAGGTCTGAAAAAAATATAGCCTGCAGTTGTGCACGCCATATGGTCGAAAGGGTCTCAAACCCCTCATGGCCGCACAGGTGGCCTCGAGGCCTCACTGCAAGGCCTGGAGTAATTCCATCCAAGGCAAACATGCCGGCCTTTCCTTTCCTATCTCCATTTTCGTCCATCCTCGCATGACTTTCTCAACCTGGAAAATCATTTAGAACCTTCACATCTCAATTGTTAATGTATTTGAACAATTTTTAACACGTTAGTGTTCATGTTGCTCCTATGCAACATTCACTACAATACTAGGAGATCATCAGTCCAGATGTCTCCATCGACAGCATTGCTTCTTTTTTTTTCTCCTCCTTTTTCTACTTGGAGTGCAGTTATGTAATAATTTCTTCAAATTTATCCGAGAATTATTTTTCTGAGAAAGAACAATTTTCCTTCACAAACCATTTTTGTAAATGAAGGATTATGTTTTATCAAATTGCTAAATGCTAAAAAAAGTAGAACATTTTACCTGGAGAAGATGAGTCTAACTTGTGATTCTCCTATGACCTATGCAACACTGTCTTCCTGCATCATCTAATATTACGTAATTGTTTGCATGACAATTGAATCTGAAAATTTAAAATAATGACGTTCTTTTACCATCACTAATCCCGTATTTCTATTGCAGGCGGTTCTTAGAGGTAGTTTCCTGCGAAACCAAAGACTAATCCTGGACAGGAGACCTTCATCTGTGGCTGCAAGTGAATTGGGTTTGCTAAGGCAAAGACATACAGTATCTGATCTAAGGTAGATTTTAGTGATACACTTGCACATATTATTTCCCGCCCCCATTTGCCATAGAAAGCAAATCAATGTCCTTACACTCCCAAAAATGTAGCAAATTTCCTGTATAGTAACTTCTGCCTTTGGTGACCTTTTGTGATGGTCCTCATTTTCTCCTTTCTGTTTCTGTACTAATTTTCTCTATTTTACGACGAATTTATATAGCTTAAACTCGTAATTATGATGACATCCACTCTTGTTTTCAACCTATGGTTAAAACAGAGCAGGAGCTAAGGTACTCTTAATGAGCTCGGTGAGCAAGATAATTTTTTCGTGATTTTGGTTTGAATAATTCTCTCTACCTTTTTTCATTTTTCTTCTCTTTTCTCTTTTCTCTTTCTGGTCATTGGAAATGGCGGTGTTTTCATTTGTTCCCATTTTCTATGTTTTTGGAGCTCTTATTATGCCGTCAATGGACTACTCTTGCTTGATTAATTGTTCAGTTCTCATTAAATTACACATTTGTGTCACACGCAACCGAAAGATGTGTAACACAAGCTAGGAAATATGTTCCTGTACTGTATTTTTGTTGAGGTTCTCTTGTATGTACAATAATTCCTTACCGGTCCCTTTATCATTACTTTAATCAGTTCATTTTCTGTTAGGACACTGATCATTTAATTAAACTCGAGGAATTTTATTGTTTCAGTCTTCTATGATTGGTTGTATTATTGCTCATACCTATTTTTTTGCAACTTTTTTTCATCAATCAAATTGAACATGACCCAATATTGAGCCTATTTGGCATCTATTGTCGATCCTTTTCCTTCTATTTTTTTTTTTTTTAAACTAATGCTATCATGATTTTGTGATATAGGGAAGGATTCCTCTCCAAATTCGACAATTCTCCTAGTACCGAGGTGAATGGCTCTCAGTTTGATGTGTCTTTTAATGATGAAAGTAATGGCCAAAGAGATGAGCGATCTCAATCACTCGGTGAGAGTGAGCTCACAGATGAAGACATGAGTCAGCAGGAATCTGATGTACAAGTTGCTGAAGTAGAGGTGCCAGTTTTGGACTGTGAAGAAAATGTCCGAGAAGTGTCATCCAACAATGGACATATTAGAGAGAATGATGTCACTAGAACCTGGGAGGAGAATAATACTAATGAACGGTCGTTTCAAGCTGATCAAATTGATGGCAGTGCATACAGAGAAGTTTTACTTGATCATGATGAACCTAGAAGTAGGGCAGGTTATGTGAATGAGTTAGTTGGGAATACATATAATATCGAACGGCACACAAATGATGCACATGTCACTGGACACCTTGAATTCGATTGGCAAGATGCTTCAGTTCAAAGAGATGAGTTGCAAGAGTCAGTAATTGAATTTGAAGAAAGTGACTGGCGACAGGTAACCAGTGGTGCATTTAGTGACTGGATGAATGGTAGTGAAGAAGATGTGGGTGGAAGTTGGGAAGAAAGCACTGCTAATCAGTGGTTTCAGGGAACTTCTAATATTGAAATTGTCGAGCCTGATCAGATAGGAGAATCGCATGAGAACTGGCAAGGGCAAGATTTGCAAGAGGCTATTGATAGTTGGCTAGACATGCCTTCTGGAGAGGGAAGTTCTATTCCGAGAATTGGTTCGTTTAATTTCCCCGAAGATGAAAATATTTACAGCATGGAACTTAGGGAGCTTTTCACCAGGTATATGATCTCATTGCTTTTGACTTCAGGACTTCATTTACTTGAACTGTTTCTGAACTTTCTTTTGCGCTCCAGGAGACGTGTCTCTAGTCTTCTCCGAAGTGGTTTCCGCGAGAGTCTCAACCAAGTGCTGCAGTCCCATGTGGAACGTCAAGGTCATGCTTCTAGTAACTGGGAGCTAGAAAATACATCTCCAACCTTAACCAATACAGACCAGGAACAACTGAACGGTGATCAAAATGCAGCTCACTCGGGTGGTGCTGAACGAAATCCATTCATTTCCTCTTCATCACTTGTCTTTGCTTCTCAGCCACTTTGGGATGAAGAGTTTCGGAGTGCAAGTAGACCACTGAATTCTCATCATTGCTTTGGAACTGTGAGCTCTACCATCCTTAAATCTAGTATTGGTTTGATGAACTTGATGTGTTTATTGTTCACTTGGTTTGAGATACGGAGTTATCCCTAGATAGAGTGAAATTCTGAACTTTTTAATCATCTTTACGTTTTCTTAAAATTGCACTAGTTTGGTGAACTTGATGCGTTAATTGTTCGCTTGGTTGAGATACGGAGTTATCCATAGATAGAGTGAAATTCTGAACTTTTTAATCATCTTTACGTTTTCTTAAAATTGAACTTTCATATCTGACTAGGAGGTTTGTTAAGACACTAAATATATGTCTATTGAAGGGGAGGGGAAATTGATAGTCTTAATTCTGAACCATATAACACCGAAGAAACATAATAGAAGAAAGAATTTATCCAAATTAATGCCAAGTTTTGTGACTTTCATGTCCTTAGTTTCTAGGCATCAATGTTGTGCATGAACATTGCTACCGTTCTACATGTCTTTCATTTTCTGATGATAGAACGAAATTGTAACGACTCGGTCTTAGTGCTTGGCCGTTCTCTTATGCAATGTCCGCTTTGAGAGAGCTTGAGCCTATCTTATCCCTCACCGATTTATGTCGCATACCTCTACTTTACGAGAGACTTAAGTTGAATTCAGGTTGGTTTAAGCTCTTCCACATCAGAAAGTACGTAAGAGAACGGTTTGGATATAGAGGCCAAGTCGTTACAAAAAATGCGCTTTTTTTTTTGTAACGACCCGACCTCTGTGCCCAGTTGTGCTCTTACGTACTGTTTGCTATGGGAGAGTTTGCGTCCTTCTCACCCCTCACGAATTTGCATCGCACCAAATTGATTGTTTTTTTTAAATTTTTGTAACAACCCGACTTCTGTGCTCAAGCCGTTCTCTTACGTACTATCTGCTATGGGAGAGCTTGAGCCCATTTTATCCCTTACGAATTTCTATTGCGTCCTCATAATTCAGACTCATAAACTTTCTTTTAAGAGAGATTTAAGTTGAATCTTGATACCAATTAGATAGGTAAAATGGGCTCATGCCGTCCTAGAGCTGACAAAATGTAAGAGAAAGGCTTGCGTACAAAGGTTTGGTTGTTACAAAAATGGCACACTTACGTAAAAGTCTCGGGGCCTTTCGATTTTTGGAGCATTTTGTTCCACACTTCTAACTTGTATCATATGATCTGATGATGTGGATCAGGACTGTGAGGTGATCAATGAATTGAGGATTGACATGGCTAGGCTTCACCAAAAGATGACCAACATGCAAAGCATACTGGAATCATGCATGGACATGCAAATTGAGTTGCAGCGTTCAGTGCAACAAGAGCTTTCTGCTGCTTTAAATCGATCAATTGTTTCAACAGGTGAGGTTCCAAGCTCGAGGTATTGGTATCCATATTGTTTATAATGAGCTAAGTTTCTCTTAATATAATGAGTACGTTGTACCTAACACGTAGCACCAAAAGTATTGTCTATTACTAGTGGTTTTCGTATTCTGTTTTGCTTACTTCTCATTTAAAAAAAAATAAAAAAAATGGCTCACCATTATTATATGCAGGTATATGTTGGGGCAATATGCCTAAAGATGAATCTCTATGGGATCATGTGAAGAAAGGAATATGTTGCATATGTTGTGATTGTAAAATAGATTCTTTGCTCTACAGGTAAAGAGTTGCAAATCTTTATTATTTGCATTATAGTTACGAACATGCACTGTTGTTTCTAGGTATTTTTTAGATATTATAATTTTGGTTTTCTTAAAGACAGTTTAGTCTTTTCCCTTGTTTAGGATCTTACTCTCAAGTCTCAATATTCTCTTTATGGTCTTTTCGTATGATTGAATAATAAGATTGCATCTTGTTTAACGTGGTATCAACACATTTGCACTCTAACTTCTGAGCGTCGAAATGTGATACTGGTTTTACATGTACTCTTGCAGCTTTTTTTATTCAAGTCTGTCTTTCATTTATGCAGGTGTGGGCACATGTGCACCTGTTCAAAATGTGCAGATAACTTGATCAAAGACAAGGGGAATTGTCCAATGTGTGACGCGCCAGTTGTTGAGGCAGTCCAAGCTTATTTCGTACAGTAAGGGAAGAAGAGGAAGCGTAAACAGCTGAACGTGTGAAAATAGAAGGAAGAGTAATGGAAAGAGTAGGAAGTCACAAGTTGAAATAAGCTGGTTGCTATGTAGATTCAGCTATGGCTCCCGAAGACCTTAGGTAAACTTTATCTCCAGTATTCTGCTAAGTACTACTTTATCACGAGTATTAGTTTCAATCTTGTATTAAATGAATGTGTTTTAAATGACAGGTGGCACCTGGGAGAATAAGTTGCATCGATATTATTTCAGTTGATTTTGGCACGAACAGATGGCATGCGTTGCAAATGCTGATTCGTGCTTTGTTAAGTGTAAGATTTGGTTCTCTGAAGCTTTGTCAATGCTTATTGATTCTATATTTTCTGGTGAATCATTTTTTGAATGTTTATTTTGCCTGCGGTTCTTGCAAGAGAACTCAACTTCTTGCTTTGTATAAACTATAAATTAAGCTTCAAATTTGGAATGTTTATTATCTTAAGTTAATTATTTTTTGATTAATTCCTTATGGCATAATCTCTTGTGACAGATTCTTTATCTTTTTGCATCAGCATTTATGTTCTTCAATAGGAAAAAAATAAGGTGAAGAGACCTCAAGATGTATATGTAAGAAGAAAGAACTTGGTTGAGGTGAAATTTTAGCTTCTGATTGCCGATTCTATACATGGTCTATTTTTTTCTTCCACAGCCTCTTGCATTAAAAATGAATCAATTAAACAAAGTGCATTTTTACTTGTAATGACACAATTTTAAAGTAAGCAAAGATTGCATTCAAATTCTATAAGCACTTCTTAAAAGTTAAAATCCCACTTCATCTGGCGGGAGAGCTCTCAATGTTCGAAAATGTGACAAGCCACAAGAACAAAGACACACAAGCTTTAGGAACATCACTAGCCTCCGTTTTTGGAAGGAAAAAAAAATTATAAACGAAAACATTTATAAATAATACTATTTAAATCCACTAAAATCTACAATTAAATATGAAATTTAACCATTTATAAATTTTATCACTAAAACCCGCTATAGTTTAGCTAAAAATCATATTTAATAGAGGCGGGGTCTAAAACTTTATATATATATAAAAGTAATATTATTTAATCAGTTAAGCATCAATTTAGATGATGATGATAATTTGATATTAGATGATACATTTTTCTCTTTCTTATTTTCAATCACACATTTTACAATAAAATAATATTACATGCAAATTCAAAATATTTTCTTATTTTTTAACTACATATTTTCTATCAAAACACTATTTAAAATGCATTGTGGCTCAAACATGATGTTAATTGAACATGTAAAGTGTAATTACTTAAACTGATGCTTTAACATTACTGCTAAATAATATCATTCTCGTAAATATACGTCTCAAAGTCAACGATTAATTCTAATCCCACATGTTTTGTAATTTACAATTTTTATCAATTTTTCGACCATCAATCTGAATACGTGCTGCAAAGTCAGTATGTGTATAAAGCTCTACATCTTCAACAACATGAGAACTAAACTCTCTCTTCATCTCTCCACGTGGCCACATTATCTAGCGTTTCTCTCTCATCAACCCCACTCACACCATTGTTATTCTTCTCCTGCATCATATCCAAAGAAACCTCATCGACATTCTCGAAAAGCTGATGTGACCGACACAGAGGGCAAGTCACGTGCAATGACAGCCACGTGTCAATGCATTGGGGATGGTACATGTGCTTGCAGTAGGGGATTATTCTAACAATTTCTCTCTCCTCAAACTCGCTTAAGCATATTGTACATTCTTCTATCCCGTGCTTCGCGGCCACACCGCAAGCCACCAGAGGCAATGATTTGATGGCAGAAGGATCAAGTCCATTGCGGTTGTTGGGCGACGGCGGAGATAGGTTTCTGCGGCGGTTATCGGTGGAGGAGGAAGAATCCTCGGTGGCGAGGCTGTGCGTGTAGGCTAAAAAAAAGGCCATGAAGCAGAAGGCTGAGACAAGGACAAGGATTATTAATGCCACGGAATAATTGGCGGTGGATAAGGTGGGGGGAGAAAAGGGTGTTTTTATGGTGGTTGAAGTGCCATTTATGAGCTGAAAAATAGCGTCTGAAGTGGCGGAAGCTGAGATTGTACTGTCTAAATTGCCTCCGTGTTCTTGGAGGAGTCTTCTGATTAGAATGGTGATGGCGGGCTTCATGGTGGATAAAGATAAATTTAGAGAGAGAGAGATTTAGAAGACGGCATATTTAAGACAAGAGTTGCAACATAGAGTGTAGGGGTGGGGGTGGGGGTAGGGGTAGGGGCCATGGAGGTGGTAATATGTTGGGGTTTAAGCATTCCTGTGGGTACCGGTGGGTTGTGTATATCTATATCTATGTCTATATCTCATCTATATATATCCATATCCAGAGAGATACAGATAGAGGAGGGAGGTGAGTGTAGGTAGGGTGGTGATAAGGATTGAGAGTAACAAAGTTCGATTTGGTACAAAGGAGATAGGTGGGGCCAATCGAGAAAAGTTTATTATTTTATATGTATTTAATATTTCGTATGTCGATTTTAGGTTGAAAAACAGGCAATGCTACAATACAATGGCCACGGCCATGGTATTGCCGGGGGCAGAATTATCCAAAAATAAAAGAGGTAGGGGATTTAGGAATGTTGATGGATCGAGTCGATCGAATTGTTGACTATTGGGTACAGTTCAGTTTATCAAGCGAGTCGGCTCATGCTCACGTCTGAATCAAGTCGAGCGTGCTTGACTTGCCCACGAACTCGTGTGATGAGGTGAATCGTACCCACGAGTTGCTTATGCCTTGTAATTTTATTTTATTTTTTGAATTTGAACTAAAAAGTGCACCTTAAATTCTCGTGTAATGTATATGTTAATTTAGTAAGGAAATAGTAAATATGAAAAATTATATTTCGTCAAAAGAATTATAAAGTTGTAAAAATTATATTCCTTTATCCAAGCTTCAATACGCAGGAGGGAATAAAATTGCATGCGAATGATTATTTTTAAAATAAAGAAATAAAATAAGTACAATATAATTATGAATAAAAAAATGAAATAGATTTTAGATTATGGCACCGTTTGGTAACCATTCTTTTTTTCATTCTCATTCTTCTACTAATTTTCAACCACACATTCATCAATAAAATAATATTTTCCATCACATCAATACCTTTTCCTTCATTTTCAACCACAAAAAAAGTGTGATTTGACATTCATGCTCACGTCTGAATCAAGTCGGGCGTGCTTGACTTGCCCACGAACTCGTGTGATGAGGTGAATCGTACCCACGAGTTGCTTATGCCTCGTAATTTTATTTTATTTTTTGAATTTGAACTAAAAAGTGCACCTTAAATTCTCGTATAATGTATATGTTAATTTATTAAGGAAATAGTAAATATGAAAAATTATATTTCGTCAAAAGAATTATAAAGTTGTAAAAATTATATTCCTTTATCCAAGCTTGGAATCGGCAGGAGGGAATAAAATTGTATGCGAATGATTATTTTTAAAATAAAGAAATAAAATAAGTACAATATAATTATGAATAAAAAAATGAAATAGATTTTAGATTATATCTTAACAGTTTACAATTGTACATCTATAAAATATGTCGAAAAAGCCACTTTCATCTTCTTGAAATCATTGACACACAAACACGTGCTTCTATTCAAGTTGAATATTGCTCATTCAAGTAATACATCTTGATCAACATGTGTTCTCTCATGATAGACCTTACTTCTGTAAGTACAAAAATAGTCATCAGTGTTGTGAACAAGCCATGTACTGTACTTGACAATATCGGAGGCATTCTACCATTGAAGTAAATTGAAGGAGCCAGCCCCTACTAATGTCTCGTTCCATGTTGGTGCTCCATGCATACAAGTTTCATACATTTCGATCTTTGAAAAAGTAAAATTCATCTAGTTTGAACTGGTATACAATTATGCAGTTTTATAATTTTTATTTTCGTAGTGAGAATATATTTGTTTCAGATGCAATATATATATATATAGACATACACACACACTGACACACACACATCTTTTTTTACTTTTTCTGTCGAAAAATATAATTTGCACTCCCTTTTCATCTTTTCATTGAAGAGATTTTCGATCATTTTGAATATCTAAATATATATTTTACACCACCATTGAAAATGGTTTAAGCTCCTATTTGATCAAACTTTTGTGATTATAAGTTGATTCATTTTATGAAATTTATAATTAAAAAGTAGAAAAAAGTTGTGATGCAATGAAATATATAAATAAAAGGTTAATTGGCACAAATGTCCATACCTTTGGAGGGTATTGTGGATACCGTTCCTACCTTTTATTTATTGACATTTATGCTCTTACCTTTCACTTTTGCGCCGAAGGTCCTTTTCACAATATTTTGACGATTTTACCCTCCATTCAATTGAGATAAAAAGAAACGAAAGAGAAACTAAAGAATTAATTGCAATGATAATCCCAAATCCTTAAAACCTACTTTTAAATCACAAATACTAATTTCTTGCCCCCAATCATTTTTCTTGTGCCGAAGGTCCTTTTCACCATGTTTCGACGATTTTACCCTCCATTCAATTGAAACAAAAAGAAAAACAATTGAAAAAATTGCAACTATTGGCCCAAACTTTTTAAAAAAATACAAATAACCTACCAAACTTCACCTTCTTCCCAAAACTCGCCCCCACCCTATCGCTGCCTACCGGCCATTTTCAGGCCACTGTGGCCACCAGATTTTTGCACCAACACCATCTCCTCATCAACCCCTAACATTCCCACACAAATTTCAGCCCTAAAAACAACAAAATCAAAGCAAAATTCAGCCAAAAATGCAAGCCTTCCATTTTTCATCACGTAGCTGCCAGCTGTCCGGCCATGGATTTCTCACTGGATCCCCTAAAAACACACCACACTCACTATGCACAATCCCCATCTCATTTCCCTCATAATCTCATTTCACACCTAGTAAATTTCCATACGAGCACTCAATTTAACGTTGTACGGTGTGTAGCGTGTGAAAATTAATTCACCAGAGCTCTAAAAGCTTCCTCGTCATGCAAACGAACGCGAACAATTTCAAAGAAAAATTGAAAGGAAAAACTCATCTGGATTTTTATAATTAGGGATCAGAAGGGAGAACATTTGGGCAATGGAAAAGAGTGGGACATTTAAAGGGGATCCATGTATGGTAGCCAAGGCCATCGAGTTGAAGAGGGAATTGCAGAAGTTAGTGAAGGCAATTGCGGATGAGGATGATGTTAATTTAGGGGCGATTGATAGAGCCCAGCAAATGTTATGTGCTTTGAAAGAATTGAAGGTAAAAAATCATTATCCTCTTCAAAGCTTCATCCTCTTCATCTCGATACAGTTTCATAGAAGATTCTTGAGAAGCTTAAGTGCTCACTTTCCAAGGAACTCATGAGGGATCCGATTATTGTTGTTTTTTGGGGTTGAAATTTGTGTAGGAATGTCAGGGGTTGATGAGGAAATGGTGTTGGTGCAAAAATCAAATGGCCACGGTGGCCTGAAAATGGCCGGTAGGCGACAATAGGGTGGGGGCGAGTTTTGGTAAGAAGGTAAAGTTTGGCAAGTTATTTGCACTTTTCAAAAAATTTTGACAAATAATTGAAATTTGTTCAATCGTTTTTCTTTTCTTTTCTTTTCTTTTCATTTCAATTGAATGGAGGATAAAATCATCAAAATATGGTGAAAAGAACTTTCGGCCCACAGAAAGTGAAAAGTAAAGGCATAAATGCCAAGAAACGAGAGGTAGGGACGGTATCCACAATACCCTCCAAAGGTAGGGACGTTTTGTACTAATTACCCTAAATAAAATTAAGTTTGATCAACTTATATAATGTCCACAAAACTTAAATCTTATTTTTAATATGCTATCTTTTCATTTTTCTCATTAAAAGTTATCACTGAACGATTTCATTATACACGTATCAACATAATGCAGAAATTTAGTACAAAATAATGATCAAATAGGGAATTTTCCCTTGAAAAATGAAAAGGAAAAAGCCGTAGCCAGTTGGGTAATTTATAATTAGAACTTTTGATTATGCGAATTCAAGCACTAACGTGCCGTATAGCGTGTCCAAAATTACAATCTTATTCCTTTCTGGGAGGAAGTTATATTACATATAAGCCAATATACAACTCAAAAGAATTCCTACAAGAAATGGAAGAATAGATTTTCCACTTTACATCGATCGTACAGAACACAAAAATTGAGGAACCGAAAACTTTTAAAGGCCCTGTACGGTGCTGCTAAATACAGGCTTTTATGAAAGGATTGATTCTATTCTTTCTAACACTTCCAATCTGGTTTTCCTTTTCCAGCCTTTCATTGTTGCAACAAGGTTGATCAGACCAACAATTTGATTTTTACTGTATTCCTGCAAAATTAATTATAAAGAAAACATTTAATATTTGAAAGAAAATATAAAAATGTCTAAATGTAGATCCATTTTCATACCGAATGATCACGAGCCCAGTGGACATATTCTGTTTCCGGAAGGTAGTAAGCCTGTGAAAAAAGATAGAGAAAATGTAATATATACAGCAATTTCAATGAAACCAAAAGAAAAGGGTTGTTAATTTCTTACCTTGATGAAAGTTTCGACCATCTGCAATTTCGGTTTCACATCAATTGAGACAAAATGCTTTAGGCCGTTAATTAAAACCTGAGAATGAGAACACTAGGGTAAACCAAATGGTCAAATCAATGTGACAATGATACAGTTCAGCATGAGTAAAATGAAACCTGAAGATCCAGGGACATGAGAGCCCTTCCCTCATCAGTACATCTCCTCACCCTAGATAGACCCTCGATGAGAGTTTCAGCAACGTTTTCAAGTCCATATTCTAAGAGAAGGTCTTGAACCTGGGTTTACAGGCGGAGAAAGCTAATAGTGACTAGCAAGTCATAGAAGCAGCACAATATGATAATTTTCTTTTATGCTACTTTGCTTCAACATTCACTTCACTTGGCCAATTTTTTAACAAAGTCCAAGCCAAAAATGTAAAAATAGTTCTCGTAATTTAATTACATAATCATAAGATAAGATCCAGTTCACACAAGCGATGCTATATTGCTGTGGGATGTTTAGGTGCAAAGGATTAAGTAGCTTTGGATCTTCAATAGACATATTGACAAATTGAATGAAGTGGATAAAAATGATTTATGCAGCTGACCAAAGTTCAGGGAACAAGACTTTGTATTTTTTATTTTTTTTAGGAGTCATTCAGATACAATGCAGATGATCAGCTAAAGCTTGAGACTTTGAAGTAAAAATTTTAAAACCATAATAATGTGAACTGACCCCAGGCAGGCAACCATTACAAGGCTTGAAGATGAGAAGACATTATCACTTTTGTTCAGTGCAATGTAAGAAAATTCATATTGTAACCTAATTAGGAAGATTAGGTGAAATAGTCTCCATCTCTCCTCATCCTTCAGTTCTAAAGCAAATTTCCACGTTACCAGTTATCTATGTTTTCATCTGAAACAATTCCAGTTTAAAATTCCCTCACCAAAAAGAAAATGAATATATGTCATTTGCTGGTTGCAAACAATGTTAGTCACTCTGTAGGAAATCACATTCTAATATTCTGTTTAATATGAGAAGATTGTAATTATGATAGATTTAGGAAGTATTTTTCCTTTCCTCAGATAGAATATTATTTTCCTATTTCCATCTACTGTACCATAGTATAAATTAGAGGCTTTGTAACACGTTAATTAATTGAGTAAGAATATACAATAATTCTCTCATCACTTTCTATATGGTATTAGAGCACAGGTAAACTCAAACCCGGATATCAATGGCCGAATCAACTGCCGACCATCAAAAATCAACTTCAGTCGAATCCGGAACCAGTGAAACTGAATCCGTTCACACCATGACTTCAATTGGAGGTGATAATTCCTCTTTTCACCTCACAGTCGAGAAACTCAATGGGAAGAATTATAGAGAATGAGCTCAATCCATTAAACTTGTAGTCGAAGGGAAAGGAAGAATATGGTATCTTACCGGCGACGCGAAGCCACCCACTAACCCAGTTCATCTGCAAAAGTGGAAATCTGAGAACTCAATGGTTATGTCCTGGCTCGTCAACTCCATGGTGCCGTCAATTAGTAAAATTTATCTCTTCATGGCCACTACGAAGGATATTTGGGATAGTGTTCGAGAGATGTACTCCGACACCGAGGATTCTTCATAGATTTTTGAAATTAAAACCAAGCTGTGGAGAGCGAAGCAAGGTGACCGAAGTGTCACTGAGTACTATATGGAGATGTCTTCTCTATGGCAAGAACGTGACCTAAGTACGGATGAGGAATGGGATTGCCCTAAAGACGGTATTCGGTACAAGAAGAGGGTAGAGAATGAACGATTGTTGAATTCTTGGCTGGGCTAGACAGGGAGCTCGACGACGTCAGAGGAAGGATTCTCAGCAGCCGGCCACTGCCCTCCACTCGCGATGCCTTCGCCGACGTACGACGTGAGGAAAATTGGACCCTGGTAATGTTGAAAAAGGGAAGTTTTGGGCCTGAACACGACGGGTCAGCCCTTTTATCTAACTCACATGGGCCTACTGGACTTAACCCATTCTCTAATCCTAATGGGCCTACTGGGTTTAATGACACTGGGCCTCAAGGAGTTGTTGCGAAAATAAGGAGATATTCTAATGATGGGCCGAAATCTTATGGGCCTGATTTGAGAGCCCAGATGCCTAGAGGTACTAAAAAATTTGGACCTAGCCCAAGACAACAAACGAGTCGTCCATGGTGCGACCACTGTCGGAAATCGGGCCACAAAGAGGATACTTGCTGCGAATTGCATGGAAAACCGTCTGATTGGAAGCCACGGCAAAACCCTAGAAATTCCATCTACCAAGCTGCAGTCCATTCCACTGAGACATAAAATTCCACATCCAACAGTGCATTCAGTCCGGCACAACTAGAACAACTTCAACAACTGTTCTCGAATTTACAATCACCTGGCTCTTCAAGTTCTTTGGCTCACAAAGGTAATACCCTAAAATGTCTTAACACCACCTTACTCTCAAAAATATCGTGGATTATCGATTCTGGTGCGTCCGATCATATGACGGACTCACATCACCTATTTGTGTCATACTCACCTTGTGTAGGCAACCTTCAAGGTGGATGAAAGAAAAATAAAGGGATCAGGGTTCTTTATGATCAGAGAAAGAGAAGGGGCATCACCCTCGAAAATGTTCTACATGTCCCTAATCTCTCATGTAATTTATTGTCCATCAGTCAATTGACAAAGAGTTCAAATTGCTCCGCTCATTTTTTTTCCGTGTTACTGTGTGTTTCAGGACCTATTATCGGGGAAGACGATTGACAGTGCTAAAGAGTGTGAGGGACTCTACTACTTTGACGAGGCTACTGTGAGTCAACAACGTCAATTTGCTAGTTGTGATTCTGCTTCTGTTCCTAAGAATAATGAAATTCTTTTATGGCATTTTAGAATGGGTCATCCCAATTTTCAATATCTAAGACATGTATTCCCTTCACTATTTTCGCATAAAACCTTTTTTGATATGAAATGTGACTTTTGTGAGCTTGCAAAACATCATCGTTCATCATTCAAAAAATCCGTGTACAAACCATCTCAGCCATTTACCTTAATACACAGTGATCTGTGGGGACCTTCTCGTATCCCCAATCGTATCCACACAAAATGGTTCGTCACATTTATCGACGACCATACTCGAATCTGTTGGGTCTATATGCTAAAAGAAAAAACCGATGTTCGTTCTGTGTTCATGAATCTTCACTCAATGATCCAAACTCATTTTCACACTAAAATTCAAATTCAGCGTACTGACAATGGCATAGAATATTTCAATAGTCCACTACGAACCTATCTTTCAAGAAAATGGAATAATTCATCACAATTCTTGTGTCGATACTCCCCAACAAAATGGGGTTGCAGAACGCAAAAATAGACACTTACTTGAGGTAGCTCGGGCCCTACTGTTCATTACGAATTTGCCCAACACTTTTTAGGGAGATGCTATTCTCACATCTGCCTACCTTATAAACAGAATGCCCAGTCGAACTCTCAATTTCGAAACTCCTCTCCAAAAATTTCAGACCTTTTTTCCTAACACTCACCTCACCTCCGATCTACCGCTAAAATTGTTCGGTTGTACGGCTTTTGTCCACATACACTCTCATCTCCGTACAAAACTCGAACCCCGAGCAATTAAGTGTGTCTTCATTGGTTATTCACCTACACAAAAAGGGTATAAATGCTATGACCCGATCACAAAGAAATTGTTTGTCAGCCTAGATGTCACTTTCTCCGAAAACGAGCCCTACTTCAAAAAAACCTCTCTTCAGGGGGAGACCTTGAGCGAAAATGAAGATCGGTTCTTGAAAATACCTCTTGACCTTCATTTCCCCAGCTCTATCTCAAACACAGAATCTAACATGCCATTAATAGAAGACGACTTAAACTCAGGGGGAGAATAGAAGGAACAACATGACAAAGAGATGATTGTTTACTCAAGGAAGCCAAAATCAAAGGAGAAAGGGAAACTCATACTCGAAGTACCAAGAGAGTCAGAACCGGTGATAGCTCCAAATCATGATGATCTACCTATTGCCCTCAGGAAACAAACTCGGTCATGCACTCTTCACCCTATCTCAAAATTTGTTGCTTATAATACTCTATCTTCACAATTTCAAACATTTGTATCTAACCTTGATAGCACAGAACTTCCAAGAAACATTCAAGAGGCCTTGGACATTCCCAAGTGGAGGAAAGCAGTAATGGATGAAATGAAAGCACTAGAAGCGAATAAAACCTGGGATGTGATGGAACTACCTAGAGGAAAGAAACCTGTTGGGTGTAAATGGGTGTTTAATGTGAAATACAAAGCAGATGGAACAATAGAACGGTACAAGGCTCGTTTGGTTGCAAAGGGATATACTCAAACGTATGGCATAGACTACACAGAAACATTCGCACCAGTTGCAAAGCTGAATACAGTTCGGGTACTCCTATCACTAGCAGCAAATATGGAATGGCCACTCCAACAACTTGATATTAAGAATGCATTCCTTAATGGGAAATTGGAAGAAGAAGTCTATATGATGCTACCACCTGGATTTTCTAAGGAGAATGAAGGAAATAAAGTATGCAAATTGAAAAAGTCTCTGTACGGGCTCAAACAGTCACCCAGGGCATGGTTTGATAGGTTTACAAACGTATTGAAAAGACAAGGATACCAACAAGGGCAATCGGATCATACTATGTTTTTCAGATTATTTGAAGATGGGACAAAGACTATCCTGATTGTCTATGTTGACGACATAATTCTCACTGGCGATAATACAGTTGAGATAGAGAGGCTAAAAGGAGGATTAGCTGCAGAGTTCGAAGTGAAAGACCTGGGACAAATGCGATATTTTTTAGGAATGGAAGTAGCTAGATCGAAGAAGGGAATCAGTGTGTCACAACGAAAATATGTCCTAGATCTCCTTACTGAAACTGGTATGCTTGGGTGTAAACCGTGTGATACTCCTATGGACACCGGAAGAAAGGAAATTGGAGAATTTGTTGAAAAAGAGAGGTATCAGAAACTAGTGGGGAAACTAATCTACCTATCTCATACTAGACCTGACATTGCATTTGCAGTAAGTGTGGTAAGCCAACACATGCATGCTCCAAGGGAAACTCATCTTGAAGCTGTATACAGAATTCTAAGATATCTCAAAGGCTCTCCTGGAAAAGGACTGTTGTTCAAAAAGGATGAGAAAAGAGAAATAGAGGTATTCACTGATGCTGACTGGGCAGGAGCAACAGAAGACAGGAGATCAACCACTGGTTATTGTACCTTTGTATGGGGAAACTTAGTCACATGGAGAAGCAAGAAACAAAATGTAGTAGCTAGAAGCAGTGCAGAAGCAGAGTTTAGAGCAGCTGCTCAGGGAATTTGTGAAGGTTTATGGCTAAAGAAACTTTTGAATGAGCTACAAATTCCAACAAAAGTTCCAATTAAACTTTATTGTGACAACAAAGCCGCTATCAGCATCTCACTCAACCCAGTTCAACATGATAGAACCAAACATGTGGAAGTTGACAGACACTTCATCAAAGAAAAAGTTGAAGGTGGAACGATCTGTATGATCTATGTTCCTACTAGAAAGCAGACTGCAGATGTATTCACAAAAGGACTACAGAGACAAACATTCGATGAATGCATCTACAAGTTGGATATGATCAATATCTATGATCCAACTTGAGGGGGAGTGTAGGAAATCATGTTCTAATATTCTGTTTAATATGAGAAGATTGTAATTAGCATAGATTTAGGAAGTATTTTTCCTTTCCTCAGATAGAATATTATTTTCCTATTTCCATCTACTGTACCATAGTATAAATTAGAGGCTTTGTAACACGTTAATTAATTGAGTAAGAATATACAATAATTCTCTCATCACTTTCTATACACTCCATTCATAGTGAAGTATCATGTTAGTCAATGAACTTTATTTTGTTTCAAAATGGTCACTAGAATTCATTTTCTGTTTAAATTCGGTCACTGAGTTTAAATCAATTAGTTTTCTCAAGAACTATCTGATGTGACAGACAACAATATGACGTGCCGTCAAAGTGGAGGCCTTCCACATTGGCCATCCTATTATAAAAGCTAATGGTATTCAACATAAAGTTCATTGACCATATTGAAACGACATAAAGTTTAGAAACCAACATAAAACTTTGCTATAAGTTGAGTGACGGTCAGTGTTTTTTACCCAATCATTTGCACATGGAGACTGTGCAACCAGCAATGGAATAAATTTACTGTAATAAATGATTTTCTGATTAAAATATCTGATGTCATTAATTTCAGACAGAAACTATAAATACTGAATTAACAGTCATTACCTCCTCTCGAATACCTCCATGAGCTAGCCTTGTTTTGTAGTGCTTAAATTCTCCCAGCAGTAAATCAACATACCTATTGACACAGAAATTACAGAACTGATCACATGTTGTAAAAACGGAGCATACCATAAAGTTACAAGGTGACCTGAAGGTCAAGCAGAATAATGTTGCAAGGCTTGGAGATGATACACTATTTTTACAATCAGTCGAGAAGATAATGATGACGAGGTTAGGATAATGGTGACGAGGTTAGGACTCGGAATTAAGATGTCAAAATTTAATCTACTCTGAGTATGCAAAGACTTCTGTTGAAGACAAATTTTTAATAAATAAATTTGTCACATCTCTAACAGTTTAAGCTTTTTAATGTAGTGGCCCAAAAAGTAATCGAAGCAAGCAACAGTACTGAGTTAAATTCTCAGCACTGCCCATTTAATGAACTTGTCAACATACAAGGCTTTTGATGAAATAATGATTCTGGGAGCATATTGAAGACAGAGATAAGTAAATTTGTCGCATTTCTAACTGATGAGGCTTTTATATAGACAATAGAGTAGAACAACTTTTAATACCTTCTTCGTTATAATCACTTGACTGCAGCATATGCCCCAATTGTCGTCTTAATTCTTTTTCCCTTCATATTTGAAATTACCGGATAAACCAACCAAATATTTTGAAAATTTTCGAGCACTAAATACGCCAGGTCTCTAAAATCTTGCTGCTAGTTGACTTCAAAAATATTGGATTTTTGTTTCCTTTATGATCGAAAACTAATACTACACCAATATTTTCTTTATACGGTATTAAAACTCAAAAGGCAGGTAATGGTATTCCATTTTGAAGTAATGGCCATTCGTTACTCGATTACAAAAACCAAAGTTCTTTTTCACTGATTATGATAGCAATCATCAAGCAAGCAGGAATATAACGGTTTTTTTAAAAGGATGATGCTAATTGTGTTAATTTTGGAGGTTCAGGTTTGTAATCAGCAAAGAACAAAAGAAACGTACCCATTGTGCTCTAGTCCGAGCTCTTTCACTTCCCATTTAGAATTGGCAACCCGGTCAACATATCTGCACAAATCCTTCCAGTCAATACCATTACAAGAAGTTTCTTTTTTTTCCTTTTTTCCACATTAAAGAAGTCATTAAAGACATTTGGCTTAACAGATAGATTTAAAAAATTTCTCTGCCAGTATCTTATAAGCAATGAGTTTGCAGAAGTCTGACGTAGAGAATAACATGAGCTTGATTCTAGCATAAGAACACATTAATCCAACTTCATAAACAAATGGGTTAAATTAGATTATCATGTTAGAGAGGAGAGTAAAGCATGCAGGACCTAACATACAATAGGGAAGGGAGAAGGATGACTTAAAAGAAGAGAGCGCTGGAAAGATGAAAGAATTAGGAGAGAAATCTTTAATTTATTTTTTTCTTCTCCATATGTTGGGGTAGACTAGGGTGTGGATAGACCAGATACAAATAGGTTAAAATAGCTCACTTCATTTTGAATTTGAAGGCTAGAGTCTCTCTTTCAATGCGAGCATTGAACGGTTAACAGGTTCAATATAACAAAAGAGCTTGAAAGAAAAGCAAAGGAAAATAACAATAACAATAATCATAAATTAACACATCACTAACAAAGATAGTAGTAATGAAACACGAAGCAGTCTTAAATCACAAAAAAATCAGTATACAAAGTTCATGGTTATGGCGGGTATACAGGAGGTTAATAATGAACTATTTTATCAATGGCTGCATTACAATATACAAGTTCTATATAAAATGTCAAATATTTTCTATTCCTTCATCAGAAGGTGCCAAATCTACTCAACTTTGAAGGGCTTCAAAGTTTATAAACAAGCAGCACATGCCTGTGAGCCCGCAGTAACAAGTAACTGTCACTAAAAAAAGTGGACTGCCAGGCATGAATCATCTCAAGATCTAACAAATCAGGGCTTAAACTAGGTAAGTGTGTTGAGAATTAAATGAAAAAAAATAAAAAACTATAAATACTTAAACGTTCGAAGTACCCATAAGCAAAACTATGCCGGTGAATCTCTCCATCACGTCAAAAGATCTAATGCCCTAGATGATGCTCAAAAGATTCTGCTGTTCAAACTTTAGTCTATTTAACCTTAAACTAAATCAAGGCTTCAAAACAGATCACTCCTAACTCATCTAAAAACCAAGCTGATGAAAACCACCTGAGAATGCAACATGACCTATTTATGCAAATTTCAAAGGCCTCTTTAAAGACAAAATCAAGGTGCCAAAATCTGGCCAGTTTTGTCCCATTTTAATCCCTCTCCTTATAATATAATATCTAAGAGAAGTTTGGGTAATTTGGCACAACTTCAGTGTACGAGGCTTGTGGGTTCCTTCAAGAAATTCTTAAACTGATAAGACTTTCCATGGAGAAGATTGTCTCTCAAGGTAATGTGCAATGCTATCTTAGATTTCATGAATATGGGTAAAGAAGTTAGTGTTAGAAAATTACGCGTAGAAAAATTATCTCTTTGACTACAATTATGGATAGGAAAGTAATGTAAAAAGGTTACGTATTATGACATCGTCTTGGTAGGAGAATATAACAGGGAGAAAATTAAAAAATTATTGTGGATGGACAAAATTCAGAAGCAACAGGAAAAATACAGAAATTAAGGGGACTAACTTAAAACCTCAACTATGTATGTCACAAATTTCATTTACCTGGCCAGCAATTAGTGTGCATCTGTCACTTTACCAATAAATGAGATAAGTTATAACAGATTAATATTTTATTGTATCTTACGCATTTATGTGGAGGAGGAGTCTAGCAGTAGTTCTATGAATATGCTCCGTAAGTTCAGGTACAGCATCCACCTGTCAAAAAGGCCAGTCAAAATAACTACCGTTAGCTTTAAGCAACTAATAATTACCAAATGAAACAATAATACCAACAATATTAACAACAATAAAAAGTTTTGAAAACTTTTTTTTTTTGATAGGTAATCAAAAAGTTTTGAAAACTAAGGATGAAAACCATAATAATAGATAATGGTCATAACAATAAAATGATAACAACAATGAGATTATTATATGCAAATGACGACAACAGAGTGATGCAATGCTACAATAATAAGTAACATAACTCTTAACTTGAAATAAGGTTGTTCAGCATTATATCCAGCAAAGGTATTGGGTTCAAACACCACACTTTGATAAAAAAAATAAAAAATGAATCAGGGTTCAAACACCACAAATTTTAAGGACACGATTAAAATCAAGGATGAAAGCACTAGTCATTTGTAAAATCAAAATCATCTAAAGTTTACTGCACTAAACACCAATCTAGAAATTCCCACTGGTTTCAAAGGAGTTATATCAACCACACTTTCTCTTGCCACATAATGTAGACAACTTTAGCAAATCATACCAGAAGCACTTGAGAACACATGATTATTCTAAATGCGAATACAATACATACCATATGCACGTAGAAGTCTTCGACTATTGCTCCATTATTTTGCAGAAGCGTTGATTGAAGATGGCCTTTTGATCTATGCAAGAATTGAGCAACAAGCAATATAGTGTCAGCACCTGCACATCTTTCCTGCAGCAGCATTATATTAATGAGTATTATTTACACAACAGTCAAAATGAGGCTCTTTGATCAGACAAGTTCTGCAGCTTCATATTTAATATGAATTACTGTAAATAACTAATTCATGTTAGTTAAGGCATGTGAATGTGTGTGAGGAAGAGTGATCTCCCAGATCTGCTCATTGAATGACAGCTTTTTTCGTAGTATCACAGAATACAGAATCTCCAGTAGAAGAACTTGTACAAGTTCTCTCCTTCCTTCGTCCTACATTAGGATTTGATCGTCTTTGACATTCCATAAATCAAAGTTAAAGGGAAAATAGATGAAAGTCATATTCTTTTGCTCAAGCAAAGAAACTAGAAGTTTGTATAGAGGGAGTTCCCAGCAATAACCATGGTTAATGGGTTTCTTAAGTGCATTCATCATCTCCTTTTCTTCATCTCGTTTTCTTTTGTTTTTTTCTTCAATGGGGGATCTAAGCCATTAGCTAGCCAACAGAGTATACATATTACATATATAGAGACTGTTTTCAATATCCCCAAATTAGTGCCTTATCCAAATAAATCTAGCAGGGAATAGAAATACAGCAATCTTTCGTGACAATAAATCAATTAGCTGAAAGCCAATTAAAAAAAAAAAAAAGATTATGAAAAATGAAAGCCATATTCACCAGAAAGAGTTAAGGGCCTGTTTGGATTTAGTTAAAACTGTCATTAGTTTTATTTTTCAGTTTATTCTTAGTACTTTTTTGAAGATGTATATACAGATAAATAAATTATATTTATAAGCAGTTGCATGATTGGTAAAAATGAATACTTTTTTAAGTGGACAAAGAAAGTCAAATCAAATGACAGGAAAAAAATTATATACTTTTTATATAATAAAAATATATACTATATTTTAGCCAACCTTACGTAAATCAACTTTTAAAATATCGAGAAATAATAACTTAACTAGCATTTTACATTAATTAAGCAATGTACTATTTAGATAAAAAAAAATAAATTAATATTTTAGAATTTTAAATTGTTTTCATGAATTAATAATTAACATGTGATGCTATAAGTAATTATAAATTGAACGAGATGTTTGATAAACGTATTTTTAATTTGATTTCCAAAATTAGTCAACATCATAACAGGCACACAAGTGGAAAGGGATCCCAACTCATAGTGCTTCTTTGCACAGAGATTTTTGAGACCTTTTAGCTTCAAAAAAAGAGAAAAAAAATATAAATTTCCACATCATTGCACAATACCTGTTAAGGCCTGGTGCAAGGGAAATATAAAGGGGGACCAAAAATAGAGGAGCTTTGCATATGTTCTCATAATGAAAATTTAAATTTTTTTTTTTTTTCAATAGTTGATATCCATCAGATATTAATCGCACTAATGTAACTTGATTGTTTAAATTTGAAGTGCGTTCAAATTAACGCATGTGAAGACTTATGCCTAAATTATTGTTTGCTCGAACTGTAAGAAAAGGAATTGGCAAAAATTGAATAGAGCAACTTGCATCCAATAAACTGAACAATTTCCATTATTAGACAAGCAAAATCCACATGCAAGCTAGAGAGAATGAGTTACTAAAGAGCTAGTCACCTTGAGACCAAAAGATGGGCTATTCAAGTGACTCGGAGGACTGGTAGGGGTGACATCCATATGAGTGAATGATGCATTTGGAGATATAGGGGATGCAGACTGGGGATTTATCCACTGATCACACTCTTGTGTTATTCTTGATATTGCAGTCTTTAGCCTCTCTGTGGACCATAAACATAATGGTGTTTTACAAGCAGCAGTCAAAAAATGACATGCTGTACCAAAGAAAAAAAAGGGACTCGAAATGGATAGCCAAACTCAAGAATTACCAGCCAAAAGTATAATTGAGTAAGTATTCTTTTGTGCTGAATGAAGGAGGGAAAAAGACTGAACAATACTTACGAGGAAGCAAGTCCGCGGAGGCCTTTCCACTTGGATGATTATTCTGCTGACCAAATGTCATGTAGACAAAGTGGAAAAAGATCTCAAACAACTGGCAAATGCCCTGTTAAGAAAAATTGACAATCAAGAAAAAAAATACAAAGATGCAAACACAGAGAGAGAGAGAGAGAGAGAGAGAGAGAGAGAGACTAAAATCATTGTGCCGTCCATGAACATGTGATGAAACTACCTTTAAAAACTCAATATTGACTATCTCTAATTTCTGCATCAGTCTTGCATACTTGTCCATCAACCTGACATGTAAAATGTCAGTCAGCTTAATAACAGATCCACGTTTAGTATTTTCACTGAATTAGATGAAGAGCTCACTTCAAGAGGCTAAGTGATGATCCTGTTTGTGCTTTCATCCCTTCATCATTCCAACGAGAAGAGTGATGTCTTAAACGATTTGGTTTGGAAATACGACTTGGAAGCTGACTGTCTTCATCAATAAAATCAGCATGGAGATCTTCATTTTCATCTTCTGAAAGAGAAGCACCCCCATTGACATCATTTCCAGCACTAATTTTCTGTGTAGATATACTATTCTGATACATTTCATTAGTATTTCCACTTTCTCCATGCATGTTTGATCCATTAAGTTGGAAGGAATCGGATTTTTCCATGGTACCATCATTCAGTTTTGATGAAAATGGGTTTCCTCTTTCAAGCCAATGCGAAAATCCACTCTTCGATCTATTTTCAACTGAACCTACTGATCTATTGGATTGCAGTAATTGAGAACTGGGAGAATTATTAGATGAAGCAATCAATGCTGCTCCATCACCAACCAGTCCGGCAAAACTTACTACTTGAATTGTGTCTGGCGGCATTATCTGCCAATTCTCCTTCTCCATCACCATTTTCAAGGCCTGTAAAATCAAATGATGATTTAAATCATCAATCACATGAAGATACTGGTAAGACAAGAATATTTTTTTTTGATAAGTAGTAAGACAAGAATATCAACTTGAGCAAAAACAAGTACCCACTCCACATTTATAAATTCATCATATACAATATAAAGCACCAATGACACTCTCACAAATATTAGGCATCAACCAAATAATTAATGGTCAAATTCAATGTAACTCGAGGACAAAAACATTTGTCGGGTGACAATTAACTGAAATGCTCTTAGCAGGTATAAGTCAGCATAGCATTCTAATCAGCACAATATTCTGTATTAATTAAAGTATTATGTTCACACAACTCATCAGAAAAATAAAAAAGAAAAATCACGAAGTATTCCCAGATGAAAATAACTTCATGATATAGAGATGGAGATGGAGATGGAGATGAAGATGAAGATGAAGATGAAGATGAGGCTGTTAACTCATGATGATGATACTGGTAAGACAAGAATATCAACAAAAGTTAAATAACGAGATTAAATACTGAACAAGCGCCAATAGGTTAAAGTTTGATCTGCCAAATTATGAATCTGTTGCTTATTAGAGGAAAACTTGCAAGAAACTATAAAAAGACAATAAACTCAATTTCTTCAAATTAGATGGTAGTATAAAGGTTTCTAAACCTGGGATCAATTTTTGCTTTTTTTGTAAATTACATATGGTATATTTTCATCTTTGTATTGAAGACCAACTATGTGTACATAATTTTCCTTTTTTAAGTATATCAATTCACTTGAATTAATGACTAGAATCCAGCAGCTGTGGTACCTGGAGCAGCAGCAGGAGGAGGAGAAAGAGAAGATTGCAAGGATTTATATTTTTTATAATTAATTCTGCATAAATAAATAATTAATATTTCTTATAATTAACATTTCCCATCTGACTTGAATTAATGATGTAGATAAAAGGAAAAGCAAAAAGAACGCAAGAATTCAGCAGCTGCTGAAGCAGCACCAGCAGGAGGTGGAGGAGAAAGAGAGGACTGGAAGGATTTATACTTCTTATAATTAACATTTCCCATTTGACTTGATGAGAGAATCAAAAGTGAATTAGAAAATTTCTCCTCTAACAGAGAGGAGTTCCAATAAGAACAACATAAAACAGACAGGCTGACAAGCAATGCGAGTCTAATTATAAGTTGCCAATGCTGTACAAGGCCATGAGCATTAATTATACTATGGTCCTTCAGAGACATGGTACAAGGAGTCTATTTATCAAACTTACATATATATTTTGCCGATGGAAAGCATTAAAATAACTTCCACAAATGGATTTCAGCTTCTGCCTAAACTCAACCGCTTCTAAACCACAAAAAGCTTCCCCAGCCAGGATGAAGAGACTAAGATCTTCATAGTTTCTCAAAAATTGATGAATGCTACTTGAAGAAACTGCAGAAGAGGAAAGCAGAACTGCAATGCGGCTTGTTGTAAGTTGCCAAAGATTCTTACGGCCCCTCTGTAGGGTTTGTGAAACAAAAGTTGCAGCATCTTTCCGCAGTTCAAACCATGGGGATCCACTACTTGATGCTGCAGTTCCATCATCTCTTGCTTCGTCAGTCGGATAATCTGCAAGAGTGGAACCATTGGACCCTGTAATTTTCGCACAAGTGGCAGAAGTCGTAGCTGGCTCTTCAACAGAGGACAAAACAGATCCTGATCCTCTCTCTGTCCCTGCAGAAATTGAACTATCTTCTGCAAGGGAATTACAGGAATCTTCTCTTACAGAATCCCCCAAAACTCCAGATTTGTTACCTTTTTTTTGCCTCCAACTTGGGCTATGGCAGGCTGAGACCTGTGATAGATATACAGAGGCCGTTTAAATACCTAATTCTACACGATAAATTACATAAAAACCATGATACTGCGATTTCACAGTACTGGGTAAATTTTAAAAAGCATATACATCATTTATACTCAAGAGACCAGTTGATAAAAAGCATTAGACAGAAATCCAAGGAAAAGGCCAGCAACTTGGTTATGATAAGAAGTTTACCAGCAAAGGTCATGAGTTACAATTTAAAAGTATCCAGATTATCGAAAATACCAATAATAGAGGATGGATAACAGAAAGCATACTTTGTCATCTGGCTGGAAGCTCATTATTGCATAATAGGATGACATAAGCTTAAAAAGCATCGCTAGTGTTGCCAGCAAACACTGCCTAAATTTGGATTCAGGTATTTGAATGCACAAATCACTGTACGTAAGCCTGGACATGGAGTAGAAGACAATCAAGAATAAGTAAAAAGCTCCATCGTAAGAAAAATGGGCTATCCTCGCGTTTTTCTTCTAAGAAAGCTAACAGGTAAAGAAACCTTACCTGTTACATTGCATATTAGGATTTTCAAGATCCTGCAGTAAGTTAAGATGTTAATAACACACATATATGAAGCATACAAATCTTTAAGAAATAAGAGGACCATAATAAAATCTGCAAGTTCCTTACAAAAGAATGTCCTATCAGGTGTATTTTGTAAGATAAGGTCAGCTAGGGATGGGTTTCTGTGTTGCACTACTGATACCTAAAGAGCTTTAAATTACCCAAGAGCTAGACTGAACGAAGGACCATGATGATAATATTATAAGCTATTTCAGTAAAACCTACAACATACCTAGTCTGTGTCCCCATTCGCCAAACATAGCTTTTCAAACTGCTAGGTACACATTCAAGAACCATCTTATTAACAGTTTCGTTGTGGATCATGTGCCCCTGTTATCTAGGAGCTAATTGTACTGGTCTCACTAAAGTAGTGATAGGGAATAGGATAAAGGCAGGTTACCCAATAGGGTAGGGGATGATATAATCATTCTGAGTCATTCTTGTCTCTTTGTTTTTCTCACTTGTTTAATTAGAAACTAGTTCAGTTCACAAAAAAAGAAGAAAAAACATTACACCAACATACCTCTTGCAATATGGTCCTCAACACAGAGTGGGTTTCAGAGAGAACCTCCTGCATAAAGAAGCTTTGTATCTTCTCAGCCAGACCAGAAACATCTCCAATCAAAGCATACGCGTCAACCACCTATCAACCAATGTTTTGAACATTTCAAGCTGAATTTGCATAAAAAGAGTCACGTGTGCATTGCCATGTGAGCTTGAACAAGAAGATGAGATCAGGGAAAAAAAACACATAAAGTTATGCAACTTTGTTTACTGGATGTTTACTGGATTCATTCATTTTTCGTGACAAAGTGATGGAACTTTCTCATGCTCTTCCCTGTTGTCTACTGGTTTCACAGGTGGATGAGAATGATTAATGCTGGTGAAAAGCATCACAGACAAGCCACTATTCCACGTACAGTAGCACAGAAGTGTTAAGGAAAATTCAATCAATTACTTTAACAAAGGATGTGATGAAGATTCCACAAGAAGATAAGTCATTTAACAAACAAATTAAGCCCTTGTTTGAACCACATTAAAATTCTCATTCTTCTACTCATTTTCAATCACACATTTTTCAAAAAAATAATATTTTCTATCACATCAATAACTTTTCCTTCATTTTTAACCACACATTCTCCATCAATCTACTATTTCAAAATACATTCTTCCAAAATAATGTGAGTCAAACACACCCTAAGAAGATAAGCTACAGTCGAAAAACAAAGTTCATGCAGAATTTAATTAAGATTAATTCACTAAAGTGCATTTCTTTCTCCAATGCTACCTAATTTGTCTAGTGCACTAAGGCCCCATCCTTGAGTTTCATTTTCATAGTTCAAGACTGTTGCATTATTTACTAAATTCATAATTCCAAATTTCATCATGTTCCCATACCAAGTTGAAGGTTAACATAAAGAACAAATTCCATTTATGCTTTAAGAAACTCAAATATCAGAATATCAATATAGGGCAATAATGCCAAGCAATTATCGTATGGAAATCAAAAACTTAAACATTGGGATCAGTAATGTTTTGAGGGAATCTTAGTAATTTTGCAGGTAAGAATATAATGTTTTGAGGGAATGTTAGTAATTTTGCAGGTAAGCATATATGTACTAACATCTGGTTTTTCCTTAATTTTTTGCACTATGATGACAATATGTTGTGCACGCTATGCCCCTGTTTGGGCTCCATTTTATTCAAAATGCTCTTCTCTCTCTTCCTTTCAACCATACATTCTCCAATAAAATAATATTACATGTAAATCCAAAACTTTCCCTTTTTAACCACAAATTCTTCAAAAATCACTATTCCAAAATGCTTTTTCCTCAAAATTTGATTTTAATGAAGCCCAAACAAGGGCCTTGATTCCATTGATATCCTAAAGAAAATGAAGTAACCAAGAACAGTTATTCATCACTTTAAGAGCACTGCTTCTAAAGAAATTGTAGTAACCAAGAACAGTTATTCATCATTTTAAGAGCACTGCTTCTTACTGCAGATACCATGCTGAGTTTCTATTCATATGAAATACTACAGTTCTAAACATTAAGATGCAACTCCACCAGCTTCTACAATAGAAAAGTGAAGGAGTCAAAAAAGACAGGTTATACTTTACATCTTATTTTTATTGCTTCAATTGGCATTGGCTTATGCTACTTTCATTGATTTATAAATGTTTTCTGCTATAATTCTTATTTAGGGCTGTTGTAAGACCAAAAGCCACTGCAGGATTTCCAGAACCCTGTGAATGTTTAAGCAATTGAGATTTGACTGAAGTCTTCCCATTAGTTAGGCTTACATTTTTAAGAACCTCCTATGATACCTTATCTTCAGGTAACTATAACACTTCAGCGACTAACTTTCACCTTGTGTTGTGCAAGAATACAGGCTCTTACACATTAAAGACATTTAAAACTCATGGCGAAAAGTTAAATATAGAGAAGTTTAATCTCAAATTATAAAGAAACAAGAATCGTGAATGATTCAATTATAATTTATAAATGGTAGTTTTGATGAGCTGATGTAGGATGTAACACTGAAAGAGGAGGAGGAGGAGGAGGAGGAGATCATATAACATGACACACCAATATAATCTGGGAAAAAGAAAAAGATGAGAAATGAGCTGAGAAGATCCTCAACCAACAGACTTCCAAAACCAGGTGTCACAACATACATAATGGAAGTGCAGGAAGAGCAAAGAATACTAGATTAAATTATAAGTTGCACTTTATAAAACACAAATCATTCAAAGTAAAATGAGGCACTAACAGTTATATAGTCTTCCTCTTTGAAATCCTGGCACACTCCTAATAGAAGTGAATCCAACTTTAGAAGAGTTGTTCCCAACCAAACCTGCAAGATGTTGACCAAATCTCAACATGTTACAATGAGACGTACACAAAATGGAAAAAGATAGAAAGAAAAAATAATGCATAAAATATAATACACATGCAGAACCAAACCAAAAATAAATATGACCAGGAACATAATCAGACTAAAAAAAGAAACAAAAGAGCAATTTTTCGTTTAGGTTTTTATAAGAGATAGCTGGTTGCAAAATTCACCTCAACGCTACGGTTCATATCTTGCACTGCAGAAAGATCTGACAGACTATCTAGAAGCTGCAAATACTCAGATAGTACTTGGAATGCCTGAAAGTGAAATGTTGACGCATTTAGCGAGTGTGTTTTTACTACATACAAGTAAAGCATAATTTGGAAGGGACATGCAAACCTCAGCTTAAAAAAGGAAAAGAAATAAATGAAAAAAATGAACATCATTTCATAGAAACTACTATCAGAATTGAAATGGAACCTTAGAGAAGTTCCCTTCCTCAACAGAAGTTTCAAGAGCCATTTGCATGTCCAGAGCATGCCGTAGCTCAGTCAAGATAGGGAGCAAGTCCTGCAAGTAGCAATAATATATTTTATGTAACAAATATGGGAAGAATACTAAAAATATGAAGCAACTTCAATCAGAGCCTTAGTTTTGAGTCCTTTTGAGGTGATCAAACAAGTAAAGAAAGTATATACAAGTATCGTAATAGTTCGTACAAAAATGAAAGTGTTGTAAAAAGATATCCACCGAACTGAGGTCTTACCGTAAGCATGATCTTGATGTATAAATAAAGTATCTAAAATATGTGCTTTGATAACCGATAAAATAAGAAAAACCAGATCAAACTGGAACTACATTGTCCAACCACAAAAAATAAGTACCAGGAGGGCTTGTTTCTTTTTGGAAGTTGTAGTGACAAGGAGATCCCTGGACACCTCGTTCCTTGATGAAGTAAGGTGTCTTCGCCCATTCTGAACACAACATAAAATCAAGTATGATGAAAAAAACTCAGCATTGTCAAAAAACCAGCTTTCATTGATATTTCAAAATTCATCAAACGACAATAGAATATAAAACAATCATGGTTGACAACAACAAGCTCAAATTCACCATACATTCATCAAATGTGTCTGCAAACATTCAAATTTGTATTAGTCTAACAGTAACAGTTAAAGTGTTAAATGCCACCTGCTTACCATGCAAATAACATTTGCAACTTTTAAGTCCTTCTCCAGTTCTCTTACCAGATTCATTCCCTTCACTGAAATAAGGGTTCAACAATAAATTACCACTATCAGATTTGAAGAACTATAAAAGCCTTAAGTATCATAAAAAGGCCAGCCATAAAAAATAAAAAATGACATGAAAATAGGACAACAACAACCCAGCTATGTATCAAACAAGGAGGCAAAGAAGAGAGAGTAAAATCAACTCTGCAAAGTACATCCCATTTCAGACATCATAAATGGAATCTTCCTATTGAGATTGAATCTATCGCAAGAATTTAAAAGTCAGATTATAAATACATTACCTAAAACTACGATGTAAAATATTTATTATGATCTGTAATTGAAGCTCTTCCAATCATGGTAGCTAAAAAAAATAAAATTAAAATACAGTAAGTATATTAGCAAAAAAAGAGAAATAAAATAGAAGCACTTCAAGACATCTCTGTTCTGACCAGAAAACAGTCCATGAAAGGGTATTAAATTTTGGAGAACATGTTCATGGAAAAGCGCCATTAGCACAATTAAGGGTATGATCTTGATTTTGGCCTCCATAACTACGAAGTAGGAATCGAACCAACAAAAATAATCTGAATTTTTCATTTTGCAATCAACTCCTGTTTGGTCTTCTTCTGTTTCATTCATTTCACCTTTCACATAGTTACAACATCAGTAAGCGATGCAGGGAGCAGGATTGAAATAAGATTAAGTTACATGTCTTGCAAAAGAAGCCTCCACTATCCATTACCTTATCATTCATTCAATAGGAAGAACTTCCAAAAAAAACAAGAAGAGGGATAACACATGGAGAAGCAATTTTAGAATATATAAGGGGCACATGTACCCACAAGGATAACCATAATGAGCTGATTCAAAGGTACATAAACCGATCTTCAGCAGATTTACATGATTGATGGAAGTCAGATTTTCCATTAAAATCTACAGTAGGCTGAAGTTCTCTCTCATATGCACAGCACTTGTCATTTTAAAGATCCTGCAACTGCCTTTTAACTGATGTAGTACATCACAACTACAATTAATAGTTCCACTTTATCTNTTTATTAATAGGATTAGGGATAATTAGGTTTATAAATATAGGGGTATTGTACACTTTTTAATCAATCAATCATATATCAATACAAAGCAAGATTATTCCAATATAATTCTTATTTTCAATACTTATTACAAGAATTTCTAAACGCTTCCGCACCATTAACTCATTGACATACTTTGCTCCTAGAAACTTACATATGCATAATGACAAATTTTCATTTTTATTTCTTGAAGATCTGAACATTTTTCTCCTCTAACTTGGACGTATATTTAAATGATGGTAGTTACTTCCACTCCAAATCATAACTACAGTTCCCCAACAAAAGATGATAATCCTTTTTCCCTAACTGCATTATCTATCGGCTATGTTTGTCTGTATAATCTAGGCACTCATAAATGCATTACAATCACTTGGTCACATTAGCAAGAATTGGAAACCCCTCCTTCATAAACAAAAGGATTTATAGTCACTGATGCACATGGAAGGCACAGATTATTTAAATAAGGCAATTATATTCTGCTTCATATTTCTCCTGCATGCTATCCTAAAAACACATAAAGAAAAAATTTCAAGTACAATCACCTGAAATTAAAGCTCATCTTTTTGACTGCCCATCGAACTTAGATAAAAATTTTGTTATCAATATAGCAGAACTAGTTCCTTATTAGAGCACATTTGAGGGGCGGTGTCACAATCATTGTTTCAGTGAGGCAGTCTACCTTGGTCTCTCATGCTCCTCGGTATGTTGAACCAATTGATGTTTAATGTGGATGATTTGTACATTATGATACTTGGCCAAGAAGACACTATGTTTTAATTACTACATTGATATGAACGCGAGACTAATTTCTACAATCTCCTTCTCTTCTTCTTTCTACCTCTTTCTCCTATCTACTTCCCCCATTCTTCTCTCTTTTCTCCCTTCTGTTAGAATTTTGTGATTGTGATTGTTTGATACGTGCATACTTCATCAAGCCAAGTTTTCATATTAAGGGGGAAAATCTAGAAAAATAGGTTTTGAATCTGTAGAAGGCATCTTCACATTGTCAAAGCCTAAGCTCTTTCTTTACGCTCATGAAGTTTGAAAAGGGAACTATTGTTCAAAACTTCCCTTCTTCATACTTCTGAGGCAACAGATTCTTGTCACCAAAACAGGTTTTCAGGGGATTTCCACATAATTCCATCATAGTAAACAACATAAACCACAATTCTCAAGCTGATCTGCAGTGCAGTGGGTAGTGAGTTCCACATTTACCAGTAGACACCAATTGATGTTTTCCTTTTCTTTCAAATAGTGCTCCTGGTTCTGCCAACCTCATGAGCTGTGTCTGAAGCATTTATTTAACTGTAGGACATCACCATAATAAGGTCACATCGAAGTGTTCTGCCTCATTTTATCCCGTCCCACAATTTCTGCTTCTTAGAATCCAGCATGTTGGTGTTCTGCTCTTGCAAATATCCATCCAAACCAACTTTTCATGAGATATTTGCTATCAACCACAGGCAACCTCCACCCGAATCTAGGGCCATCATTTAAATTCACTTTATAAATATCAAGTGTGATAGGGTTTGGGGAAAAAATAATCAGTGAGACAGCACAGAGTAGATTTGCTAAAAGGAGTTCCTCCTTCCTTCTTTTACAGAAGCCCAAACTCTCATGTACCATATCTCAAATAGCTCTGGTTTCGAAAGTAGAGCCGAGTAAAATCAAAGTACGAGGCAATGACATCTACAACATTGCACCTGAGTTTAGGAGAAACAGACACAATAAAGCAACCTCACCAACCAAGAGAATTGTGTACCCTTTAAATGAAAACTTTCACAGCAAAAGTAGTTTAAAAGCAACATTATCCAATATATATTATTGCTGCTTGCTACCAATTTCAATAAAACAATAAATAGCATCGCAACTATGGTAACAATTATAACTCTCCTATGGTAACAGTTATAACTCTCCGGAGTCCGGACTTGTTCTGCTTCAACTTCTTTGAGGATTCTTACGAGAGCTTTCAAGTCAAAGGAAAAGAATGAAGAGATTATACAGATCAAGAGAAAAAGGAAAGCAGTGATCCATTAATGAAACTGTTGAACAACAATACAAGAAGGGAGGCCTATATGCTTACAACATAATTGGCTTCATATACTCGGTTAAATTCATGTGGAAGTTGTTGAAGCCTAAAACTGATATCTTGATATTAATTTTTAAAGGTTTGTCCCTTGATGCTTTGGTTCAAAGGGTTTTTTTTCTCCCCCTTTTTTGGTGTGATGGTTTAACAAGCATTAACCAAACAGGAAGGGGTGATTCAATACTTCTATCTTAGACATTAAACCTACCCATTTCTTCATAATTCTCCATGACATGGCGTGACAATCGTTCAGCAACCATATCCAGTTGAGCCAGTTTAAGAGCAGCCTACAAAAGAATAGAGTGCAAATTCATAAGTAACTGATTAACTAAATTTTTTGAAAACAAATGAAAGCATAGTTATGAATACAACTGCAACCCCGCCTCATCCAGAAACCCCAACAAAAAAAGAAAGGACAGAAATTGTACTGACATAAGATAAGCAACAGAAAAATGACCACAAATTATGGTTATTGAGTGACAGATTTCAAACGTCTCACTACCACCCTATAACAGTGGTAACGCATAATGGCAATGAACTAAAAGGAAAGAACTCACAAATGGTCTTAAAACCAATCAATATTTGAAAAGATAAGTGTGCTTGAATCATCTCTATTCTTGCCAAAATAATAAAGGTTATTGAATTAATATCCCATCACAGAGATACGGGAAAAAGCACAAGTTTTTAGCATCTTCGTTGATTTAAAAGCAGTCCATGTGGATCAATACCAGGTGAGCAAAGGCACTGCCAAGCTTGAGTCGAGCCAAAGGTCAGTTGGAGGAGGCCTCACCCGCCTTACACCTGATCGGCTACTTAATCATTTTTCATCATTCTATTTGGTTCAACACTATCTACAGGAATACCACAAAATGACCCATAATGACAACAGAAGATACTATTTTTAGTATATTCTCCTCATTATAACATAGTCAATTGAGATCATAATCACTCTTGTGAACTTGAGCTTCTTTAGATCCATGCAAGACATGTTTCAACGACTGAAGTCATTATTCCCTTAGCTTATACTCACTAGGTTTCACATTCACTTATCAGCATACATTCTCATTTACTACCTTACCGATCTAGTACAATCATACTTCCATCTTTCCCTTTCTGCTACAACCATCTTATGGACAATATCCTTTAACAGCCCAATGCCCAGTACCATAAAACATAGCAAGTCTAATAGTTATTTTATAGAACTTACCTTTTACCCTTTAAGAGGACCTGCCTTTCACATAAATTCCTAAAGCACTTCTCCATTTCATCTAACCGGCCTTAATTCTTTGGATTACATCCTCTTCAAGTCCTCCTTTCACATCAATAATGGAACCTAAATATGTAAAAAAATCACAATTTGAAAAAACACGAACTTCTATAGTGACTCTAGTACTATCCTCATTATATTTGTAACTACAAGGACATTCCATGTACTTCAGCATCTTGAAAGTTTTTCCTTTATTTTATATTTTCCTTTTAATAGCCACTTCTTTGTCGTCACAAGTCTCTAAGGTCCCTTTCCAACTCCTCTTTTAGGATAGTGGAAAATATCACTGAGATGGTATCAGGTTTTTATGCCACTTCATGTTGATCACTCATCATCCTCCTTAAATGATATGACCATAGAATGGGATGATAGCATCTTAGAGTGAAGTTTTCATCCTAAATTGTAGAATTATCCACAATTTCACTAGAATATTTAGCAGGCGGAGAAAGGATGTCTATGACATTATGTTGATTGTGCAAATGCATTAACGGGAGATGAGTGTAAAAACTCAAGGAAGCCTATTTTGGATAAAATTAACACACGCATTAATGATGAAAAAAAAGGTAGGGATGTCGATAAAAAATTGCCCTCTATTAAACAACGCATAAGTAGAAGCAAAGTCAATCAAACAGATGTCTCCAAGCACATGGAAAATCAGACAAAGTTTGCACTCGAAACAATTATGACCTTAGTCTACAAGGAAGCTAGGAGACTCACAACACCCAACACGCAAAAGGACGCATATATGCATACGTGCATGCATATCATATCAATACACATACATGCTAAATACACTAGTTAGCAACCAAATATACACACAGAACATAAGAGAGTGCATTTACACATGCATGCAATTTGCACAAAAAAGACTAGGTATCTAAGTATACATGTGCATGAAGAGAAACAGCAAAATGGAGAAAGAAAAAAATTGAAAAAAGAAAACCTGATCCCTCAATCACCATATCTCCAAATAAAGTATCATGGAGGCAAGAAATGGAACTTACCTTTTCCTCGAAGTATGAAAGTTCGCTATCTTCAGTGGGAATATGTTCTAAAACATGTCTAACTGGATCAAATTCCTATAAAATAAGGAAACCCAACAGTTTTCAGTAGTATAACATACGTTTTATATCTAGGAAAAGAGAAAAATCGTACATTTTCAGAACAAGAAACAGGGAAAATGTACTAGGGAATCTATGCATATTGCAGTAGTAACAGTAACTACAGTATATCACAACCATCAATAGACGTAGAATCTAGCATCCTATTGATAGGAAAGAAACCTAAATGCCAATGTGTGTGTTTGAAAGAAGTAATAAACAAACAAATCTAGTTATTTTACATCACATAAAGCATGATGAAATAGCATCGCCATTCATCAAAGAAGTTTTACCCTCCGCTTTGTAATTATTATAAGAGGAATCCTTATTATTATGTATTACAGCAGTAATAGATGGTTCAACATAAAAGCAAATAAAAAAATAATATTTTTTTTAGTCAAATCAAGTAGTACTTTGTATAGCTCATAATTGCCTAATGGAAAGAGAAATCTAGTGCCCCAAATCTGGTACCAAACGTTTTTTCTGAGTTCACACCAAATCTGCAACTGATGGCCCTCCTTCCATGTGACAACGTATGCCAAAAATGATTTATAGAATATAATGACAAGTCAGGTCAAATATGCAGTGATTATGTTGTAACTAATCCAGATAAATGAAAACATAAAATCTCTTGCACCAGATAATTCATGTATGCAGAACTCAGAAGAGATTAGAAATACAGTTATCCACTATGAATAATAAAGACAAACAACCTCCTCATAAAATTCTTCCTCGAGCTCATCCACAACTTGACCTTGAGGTCTGCTTCCATAGATTGAACTCAATTCTTCAGAGCTAGAAGAGAGATTATGCCTCTGATGTGGAGGTAGTCCTGCAATAATACGGGCAACAGCAGCTGCTGCTGCGGCCCGTGCTGGAACCTGCAACCAAAATTGGTTGAAAGGGTCAAGACTGTGTAAATGAAGTAATACAACTGTGAGAATTATTCAAGAAGCATAATATGAATAAAGACAGTTGTCTTGTGTATAATGACGAATATTATTCATCCCTCCTATTGAAAGAAAACTTCTTCCTTTATAAAACAAGTAAAATATCATTAAGGGTGTATTTGATGGATATTATTGAGAAAAGAGTGTATTTTAAATAGTGATATGATGGTAAATATGTGGTTAAAAAGTAAGGAACAGTTATTGATGTGATGGAAAGTATTATTTTATTGAAGAATGTGTGGATGAAAATGAGTTTTGAAAGAACGTGTATCAAACAGGGGCTAACAGAATCAAAGCACAAAATTCCAAGGGAAAACAGAAAATAAGTATCAATGAAAACACTAAAGAATGTTCCATCAAATATCTGAGCCTTTCTCTGCATAAAACCACCCCGAAGTACAGCCAATTAAAACACTTGGCCAAACACAAGTTTACACAATGAAGCTGAAGAAATTGTTTTGGAATATCTAGGTCCATCCAAATGCAGAAATAGTAACCAACAAAGAGAGCTTCGAAGTATTTTCCCTAGTCTTTCCAAGTTAAAATAATATTATTTTTCAAAACAATAAATTTTTAATCTTGAATTATTTGTTTTTCATTAAAGAAAAAATAATCCAAACAAAATAAACTGGCATGTGTTAATGGCTCTCTTCGGTTTCTTTTAAAGTTATAAAGCCCATGGACCAGACTCTTTTAAGTATCCAGGGATTCGTTTCCCAGACTTCATTTTCTTTCGGCCACCTAACCTGTGCACTCTCATCAAAATCCTACCGGATATTTTGCTCCCCACAGACCCACTATCTCCCCTCTATCAAACCTTCTATAAAATATGCCGGCATCTTCTTTTGCTCCAACTCCCCATCACCTCCCGACTGAAATTTCGTCAGATTTCATTTTCAAGTTAGTCTTCTCTTTCCGTTTTGTTTTGTTTATTCCAAAATGGATTTGTTGTGTTCGCACTATGTGGGAGAACATGTTCAGATCCTTAAAAAGGGGGGACACACTACCTGGCATATCCAACATGTGTCCGGAAACATTTTGGCGACACAGTGCTTCCTAGCATACAATTCAACAACTTTCCATCAGAAAACCAATATTTGTTCAATGGGACAGATTAACTATCTTCTTTTTTCATAAGAGACGTGATCTTGTTAATTGTTAAGGGGAAAGGCATCCTCTAACATTAAACAAAACAAAATAGTCAAGAATACGATATAACTTTTCCAACTAAGGATAATTAGAGCGAAAGGAATGCCCTGACCTCCTTATTGGTAGAATTCCACAAGGATGCTAAAAACTTAGTCTCTCCAATTACTTCAAAGCTTTTCGCTCTCTTCCTTCAAAATCTTACTGTTTCTCCGTATCCATAAACCACCAAAACAGAGGATGAAAAACCAAAAATATCACTTTTCACATGACAGCACCACCCTTTTACGCTTACAAAGCAATTTGCATTGTCAAGGAGTAACCCATTACACCGGCTTGGAAATTTCTAACTAAAATCAACTTAAAGAAGCCTACAACATAGCCACCTTTATAGAAAGTATTAATTTCCCTATAAGACACCAGCCTAGAAACACCATAATTAGCTTATGATGGATTATGGCTCCTTGAGATACTGGCTCCGATCACATAAGCTTATGATTGAACCCTTTTCTATAGAAAGTGAGTGAGCCCAGTCAAGGATGCAAAATTTCCAAATGAACTAGGACTGGAAAAAGATGGGGAAACCTGACAAATCAACAAGAGTGTTTGACTAGCAGGAAAAGGAGGCGGAAGACTATAACATTCACAACCTGTTTCGCGATTCGAGAAGGTTTCAAATAAACTTCTAAACAATAAATACAACAAATCTAAAATCCTAGTATCCTCAAGTTCCTGTGAAACTCAAAATCATGCCATCTTCAGGGAGTGAACCAATAGAATTTATATGGACACTTTTAAGAAAACAATTATAGTCTACGAACCAATCCAAGATTCCTCCCAGAAACGAATCCTATCCATTTATGAACCGGATAAAAGAAGAAAATTTCTGAAAATGAACTTCAAATGCTTTCAATGGGACCTATTATAATTCTTTTGGAATCCCACACATTTTGATCAAAAACATACTTAGCTTCTCAACACTCACGTTTGCAAGGAAGATTGATGCAGGGCAAATCTCCAAAGAATTTCAGTGTCACAGCCAAATTCTTGTTCCTAAGATTTCCAACACCTAAACTACCTCTATCTTTACTTCTTATTACCAAATCACAAACAATCAAATTGATTTTTCTGAAAATCCCAGGCTTTTTGCAAAAAGTCCTTGTAAGTTTCTCAGAAGTGGCTGCAATCAGACATGATATCCTAAATAATGACATATAAAATATTGGTTACTTAATCAAACCGATTGGGGAAGACTTAAGAATTAATCTTCCCCTATTGAGAAAATTCTTCCACCCATCCAATCTTTATAGCAACACTCTCAACCAAAGTAAAAATTTTATGGATAATGAATTTCCTCCTAAGCGAACGCCTATCCAAAAGATTCAGGAAATATTCGTCTGATTCCCTCAACAAAATCAGGGTATCATCTGCTGATTGTGAGCCACTGAAACTTGATCCTTACCAATTTCAAAACCCTCTAGTAATAAGTTGGTTAATTCAGTATGAGCTCCTAATTAGTAATTAAGTGAAACTGCTTCAATTATACAAAACTACACATTTCAAAAGACTATAATCCATGTATAATACCTTCTGTGAACAATCAGTTATACTAGAATGATTAGCTCATTCACAGTGAAACTTTAAATAACTTTAGCTCATTTGATCTAAAACTAACGGTTGAGTTAACTATGGTTAGTCAAACCCAATTATACATCTAAATCATCAACTAAATTCAAATTCTTTTCAGCTTTGGCCACTACATAAACCCAAATATTTGTCAAGCTTATATACATAAATATATGCATAAATTAAAAATTTCTAAATAATCCCCCTTAGTACCATAGGGGCCAAAACAATGACAACATGAACGACGAGGTAGATCAATATCAACATGTAACAAAAGGCATTATCATAAGCACCTAATTTTCAAATTAGCACTGTCCATTAGCAATGAGCTAAAATTCAACCAGCCCAAAAGTAATTCGATTAAAAGCACTCAACGTGTATACACTTAGGTTTGTAGCAATACAGCATTTAAATATACTTATATGCACACATAAAGATATGTGTGTGTGTGTGTCAAGTTACTATAATTGAGCTCAACTAATTCTAAATACTCGAAGAAAACTCCTATTCGACCAAAAAGTCCATTAAGCTTGGTGATATGGTCGTCGAATCAGAATCTATCAAAAAATTTGTTCAATTTATTCAAATTTTATCTTTTTCAATTATTCTAATGTAACTCACCAGCCTAGTCCAAACTGATATAAACTGAAATTACTCCAGCAGCATTTGTCACCAAGGAATTGGAATTAGAAATGCTCAATTCAATTTTGAGTTGATTTTTTTTCACGAACTCTAATTCCAAGGGCACAATACCGTGCTGCCAACTACAGCTGATACTGTGTTTAGCATCATCAAATTGGGACCTTACAACTTGAATACATAGAGTCACATTATCAAAGCCCAATTATCATTCAATTTCAAATACATACATATATATATGACTGTAACGGGAGTTTAAGCTTACTACCTCGGGGCGATCAGAGGGGGAAGGCAGAAGGCCAAGGGAGCGGGCTGAGCGAACGGAGCTGAGGATCTTTTCTCCCACTTTCGACAAGTCCATGCCGCCTCCTTCTCGCGAGAAAAGCAGCGATCCCAGGAACAAAAACCGCGAAATTTCAAACCCACCTTCGCTCAAATCACCAGCATTAAACAGCACCAGGGGACTCAGAGGAAATGGCAGTGCCAGTGGATTATTTGACTGCATTTCAATTACGATCACTGTCGAATTCACGCTGCCTCATTCTTGATCACTAGATCGGATCGGATCGGATCGGGTAGAGTTCAGATGATACTGATTCTGTGGGTAGGGGTAGAGAGGGGGAGGGGTGGAGAGGTTGTCAAGAAGAATTTTCGTTAGGTTTACTTTTAGTGCGTCTGAAGACTTTAATTTTCGTTAGGTCTTAAGCGTCGGCTTGGCCCCATTATTTCGTGGAGTGCAGTGGTAATTTTTGGAAAAATATGTGACTGAAATTGATAGAAATTTTTTAAAATTTATTCAGGAATGCATGATTAATAAGAAAAAAATTAATTATAATTTAATGAAAAATAATGAAGGCCAAATAAGAACTTAATGTTAACTAAGTATTTTGTCCGGCAGTCGAAAACGAGGAAATGAACTAAATTACTTGTTTAAGCCGAACTATTTCAATATACCAAATTGACCAACAATTATTTTTTCCCCTTTTTAAGTCAACTCTTGTCTCTTGATAGTTGATTTCTAAAGCTAATTATATTCACGTTACAATTTTTAATTTCTTACACCACATTTTAGTTATATTTAAAAATTTTAATATTTGCTCATTTTAAATATGTGATATCCCTAATATTTTTTTGTCATTCTTATCATCAAACTTTTAATTAGTTAACATATTTTGTATTTGATAATAGTTTTATGTCAAAAAGTCCATTGGATATAACAAATTATTTTTTCATCATATTTAAAAAAAATAAATAAATAAAAAGTATGAACTCATTTCAAAACATGAAAATAAAATATTTTGATATAAATCATCATCTATGACGAGAAGTACTAATTAATGGAGGTTTGAAAATAAGAATTCGACGGAAAAAAATTTATGAAATAAGTGCTGGAATTTAACTGTAATTAAAATGTAATGTATCAAATATAAATTATAATGACAATATAACCACCCTAATTTTAAATAACTACTATGATTATAAATTACAGCCTACAACAAGGATAATTGGTAAAAAAATGTCCATATCATTTGCACTTACTGCGAAAATAGTTCATATCGTTTCCAATTTGACATTTCACCCTCATTTCAAACATTTTTCATGGAGTTGGTCATTTCCATAATCTTCCATTAATTCCTTATGTGAAATAAACACATGGAATGAACTCACATTATTTAAAAAAGGTAAATTAGTCAAGCCATTATATTTTTTTTCGTGCCTAAAATTTTTCGATGATTATCATCATTATCGTTCGTTGTAATTGACACGTTTAGGCCTCAACTCAAAACATTGTTGGAAAATAACGCCCTGATCCTTTAACCATTTGGTACGAATAACCATTGAGAAGATATGTAGTACAAATTCTTAAAACCTCTATATCGAGTTTTGCTTGTATGCATGCAACTTCATTATGTATACAAGAAATGAAGATGAAACATAAACCCGCCTAAGGAACAAAAATGTTAATTCAATCTTTTTTAGAACTTTAAATGGGAACTTATTATAAAATGAAACGAAAAACATCCTCTGAGAAAACACTTTTTTTTTTTTTTGTATAGAAGAAAAATCGAGGAGATATGTTGAATTTGAACTTCTATCTAAATCTGACCAATTATGGAAACAAGACAAAGAAATGGCTATCTTGAAAACTCTATTAAACATGATTCTCTATGATTTATTAAGTCTTGACTCATCTAAAAGAATACCAACAACAACATTTGACTTTAAAGTAACTAGTTATACTAAACTAAGCTATCAGAAATTCAAAATGACATAAATTTTTAATGACTATAAGAAGCAGATAAGCATCGTTTGATGAGCCCATGCTTTCATGTTCATTAGCTTCCTTTCGTCTAGCATTCTTTGGTCTCTCGATCTTTTTGGTATAGAATGGTGGATTCAAGGGGTTAAGACCTGGATGAGGCCATAAATATGGACTTGTCAAAGGTGAGATAGAGAATGTAATGTTCTAACGTATGCTTCCTTGTAGATGTCATCTATCTAGTCATTAACCCTCATTCCCTTTGAGATTAAGGATGCAATCACATAGAAACAATGGATCATAGTCAATTGCCAAACTCGATAAGAACAAGTTTTTGCTTTGACATCCACTGCATTTAAGGTTCCAATGTTGTGTCGGCTTGGAACTTTTCAATGCCTCAGTAATCTACGTAATGTCTCCTTGCAAGTCCACCATTCTTGTTCGATACCTTTTGAGTTCTAAGCCCAACTTCTCCATTCCATTTTTCAAAAGCTTCCATTTGGATCACAATTCTTTTTATCAAAAGCACCCTAATTTCTTCAAGCATTGTCAATATTGGCTGCTCTTTTACATTAAGTAATGTATTACTGAAAGATTCACATTGACTGTTCAACAACATGACACATCTAATCCATTCCTGGAAGTGTGATTTGGATTATTGAGAAGCTGGTTTTGACTTAAGCCACCCATATGCTGCTGGATCCAAATCCAGCATCCTCCACATGTGTTCTAGCCATTTTGGAACTGTTGTTGCTCTTACAGCATCCCACGGGCAATTTTTTAAATCTATGCCCTTATGAGTAGTATTAAAATTATTGCAGAAGTGACAGACGTGTTCTGTGCTCTGCATGCCTGCCCTTTATGCTTGTCTTAAATGAATGTCCATTCATATGAGTTATGAATTCCGCAAGTTATCTCTCAGCAAGGTCAAAAATTAACTTCAGTGCTCTCTATTTTCAACCTCCACCATTGCATAAGCAACTGGACACATTCTGTTACCACCATCAAACCCAACTGCAATTAATATGTCCACCATGTTCTATTTTGAGAAAACAACTATCCAACCTAATCACCCTCTTGCATCCATTTATGAAACCTTCATCCAATCCTCCTAAACATATGTAAAGCCTCTTGAATTCACGTGCATGCCTTTCTAATTGAACTATGCTTCCAAAATTGGTCAACCTTAATTGCTGACAATAATAAGCCAATACCCTATAATGCTCTACAACACCACCCCTCCCTAAATTTTCTAAATTGCTTCTTCATTCTTATAGGACTAGTTCCAACATTATCAATAGGGTCTTCATTTCATAATCAGAATCAACAAATACATCATCATGTTCTACTCCTTGCCGCTCTTCATTTTGTACTTCATTTTCCAATTCACCTTCATTTACACCATCATGTGATTCACGTGTATTATTGAAACTAGAAGTAGGTATTTTTTTACCAAAATGGTATGCCATGGCTTCCTCAACTTATGACCAAATTGCATCTTGACTTGCATAGAAGAACCTATCATCCCAGTTATATTCTTGGTCTGTCTCATCTCCGCATTTAGTAACAGGCACGTAACGTCCTTCTTTGATTAGATCAAACCTTCTATAGCATTCAGTGATAGCATGCTCATTTGGAGGTGAATCTAAAGCATTACATGGCAATACTTGGTTGTAGAGGTACGAGATATATATCCACAACCCTTGCTTCATTTCTATCCTTTAGCATATTTCTCACATCTTGCTCATTGTTAGATCTGACTATACTTTTCCCAATAACATTTTTGGCTTCCCGTAGAATAATTCCATTTCCATATCAGGTTTACAAGCTTTTAAAAATCTATCCAGCATTTCACTTGTCAAAAAAGCTGGATGAACAAAGTCTATATACAATACTAGGTGATATTATTTGGCTTATAAGAGAACCTCCATCCATAGTGGACCTCCATCGTGAAATAATCTATGACTGGACCTGCATGAACATGGTAATGACATTCAGTTATGATATCTTATGGATCTTTTAATCGAACTCATATGACAAATGCTAAACTAGTGGCGACTCATCTGTAAGTGTTATGCCCCAGGTTAAACACTTTTAATATATATAATCGATGAGTATTTATGGCAATATCTATTATTTAATTAAATAATATTCTAATAAATTAAATAATATAATCCGTAGATTCAAGTTTTAGTGATTTGCTAATCACAAGGAATTTGTGATTGTGATATACAAATTACATATGACTGGATCTTAAATCGTCTGTGGTCGTATGTAATAACGAGATGCGGATATCGTTATTACGGATAGACCATCATGTGTTGCATTTCTTACTTGTGAAGTAAGTAGATGATCTCACAAGCTAAAGTGTGGTGACATTTGAATGAACACATAGATATTTTATTATAGAATAAAACATTTGAGATCCGCTGGGAGATTCCACATGGATAACTATTTGAATGTTAGTGGTTAATCTCTAATATTCAGTAGTGGAATTGATCTTTTGACTTGAGGTCATCATAGTGCCTTAATGAGGACAATCATACTTTGGTGATGTTCAATGTTACTCTTCCAAGGGTCTTTAATACAATATCATTCGGGTATGTCAAGAATCATATGAATGCTGTGAATGATCAATAGAGGATTCGTCACTTTTAGATAGTAAAAGATTATGATCTATATTTTATCCAGTTAAGTTGATAATGAAACCCTTGGCAAAGGTGAACTCATAAGTCGAAAATGAGTTTTCGAATTACATGACTTAACAATGGGATAAAAGATACGATCGATAGTTGAGATTGGCACATATCCATATCTCATAATTGATTGGATCATATTGAAAAAAGAGTTATAGTTTCACGATAAACGAAAAAGTTTGGTTTTGTCACACCATGTGACATTTTCTGTCACATATATTGTCCTGACACATTGTTAGATGTCAATATGGGATGACAGATGTAAATTGATGATAAATTAAAAGGAGTATTTTAATTTATCAATTTTATTAGATCAAAATAATAATTCACGTCGTTAGGCATTGTGATCGGGAACCTAATGAGTCACACACAAAAGAGAACCAGAAGAATAAGATTTACCAATTAATTAAGTGACAAGTGTTGGACAATTAATTAATTGAGTTTCTTATTAATAGTGGATCATATTTAATTAATTTGATTAATTAGATATTGGACCGGGTTAAGTTTAACTGACCAGCCAAGCCCGCTTGAACTTATATTAATAGGCTGCTAGAGTTTGAAAATTGTAATGATAATTCATTATTCTTGCTAACACAAGAAAAGAAAACCATAGTCGTCATTCTTATTCTCTATGTGGATCACCATTAGATGCTGGACAATTGGACAGTTTAGATTGCAGATTGTGATCATTCGAGTTCGAGAATCAGCAAAAGAGTTTGCAAAATTTATCAAATGTATAATTTTTATCACAGTTTTTATCTAAATACAATGCAGATCCTTGGTGAGAATTGAAAATTGTTTTATTTTTCGCTGTGCATGATTAAGTAAATTCCTAACATCATCTCCCATAGAATGTTTTTTCTCTTATATTGCATTCTGGAGCTGCTGTTTCAAATCCTATAGAGTTCCGAGCAACACTGGGAAGTCTTCAATATCTCTTTCTTACTCGCCTTGATATTGCCTTTGTTGTAAGTAAACTCTCTCANCATAAGTCGAAAATGAGTTTTCGACTTACATGACTTAACAATGGGATAAAAGATACGATCGATAGTTGAGATTTGCACATATCCATATCTCATAATTGATCGGATCATATTGAAAAAAGAGTTATAGTTTCATAATAAACGAAAAAGTTTGGTTTTGTCACACCATGTGACATTTTCTGTCACATATAGTCCTGACACATTGTTAGATGTCAATATGGGATGACAGATGTAAATTGATGATAAATTAAAAGGAGTGTTTTAATTTATCAATTTTATTAGATCAAAATAATAATTCACGTCGTTAGACATCGTGATCGGGAACCTAATGAGATACACACAAAAGAGAACCAGAAGAATAAGATTTATCAATTAATTAATTGACAAGTGTTGGACAATTAATTAATTGAGTTTCTTATTAATAGTGGACCATATTTAATTAATTTGATTAATTAGATATTGGACCGGGTTAAGTTTAACTGGTCGGCCAAGCCCGCTTGAACTTATATTAATAGGCTGCTAAAGTTTGAAAATTGTAATGATAATTCATTATTCTTGCTAGCACAAGAAAAGAAAACCCTAGTCGTCATTCTTGTTCTCTATGTGGATCATCATTAGATGCTGGACAATTGGACAGTTTAGATTGCAAATTGTGATCATTCGAGTTCGAGAATCAGCAAAAGAGTTTGCAAAATTTATCAAATGTATAATTTTTATCACGGTTTTTATCTAAATACGATACAGATTCTTGGTGAGAATTGAAAATTGTTTTATTTTTCGCTGTGCATGATTAAGTAAATTCCTAACATCATCTCCCATAGAATGTTTTTTCTCTTATATTGCATTCTGGAGCTGCTCTTTCAAATCCTATAGAGTTTCGAGCAACACTGGGAAGTCTTCAATATCTCTTTCTTACTCGCCTTGATATTTCCTTTGTTGTAAGTAAACTCTCTCAATTTATGCATAGACCTACAACTGAACATTGGGCTCTTGTTAAGCGACTACTACGTTATCTTTGTGGCACCATAAATGATGGTCTACAACTGTTCAAAGATTATCCCCTATTGTTACTGCCTTCTATGATGCTTGATTGGACTGGCTATCATGATGATTTTTCCTCCATTAGTACTTATATTGTTTATCTTGATTGGAATGCCATCCTTTGGAGTTCAAAGAAGCAGCGAAATATAGCTCGATACTTAACTGAAGCTGAGTATCGCTTAGTTGTTGCAACAACATTAGAACTTAATTGGATGTGCTTATTGTTAATTGTTCTTGGTGTTTCAATCTTTACAAGTCTTGTTGTTTTATTGTGATAATGTTTGGGGCTACTCAACTTTGTTCTAATCCAATTTTTCATTTATGAATGAAACGTGGCCATTGATTTTCATTTCATTTGTGTTCAAGATCAAGGTGGTTTTCTTCAGGCTGCACGTGTCTCCTCCCGCTGATCAACTTGCTGATGCTCTCACCAAGCCACTTCCTTGTGCTAGATTTCTTCTTCTCAAGGAGAAGATTGGATTCTTCTCCCGAGCACCAACTTAAGAGGGGGCATAACAAAAGAAATTTTATATGCACTCTTGTTATCTTGTATTTGAATTTGTATAGATTAGTTTTATTTGTACTCTCGTTAACTTTATTTGAATTTGTATAGATTAGATTCAGTGTTACCTTTTTTCTAGGAGTTAGTTTTGCTCAGTTTGTATGTTCATTCAATACTTTGAAATATATATACAACTCACCTTTTTTTGGATTGATTATGGATCCTGTTATAGCGTCTCCAATAAACTGTATATTTATAAAGAGTATCTTATGTATTATAGAGAATATCTTTAAATTTAAAGAGTCAAAATTTTTATACACTTTAGTACGCTCTCTATCTTGTTGTCTCATTTTACTTTTCTCAAGAAATATTTAATGATTTATTGTTTGTTTTATTTAACTTAATTTCTTATATGTTAATTGACCAATCAATTTAAGATTATGTTTGTCTCACATTCTTACAAAATCTTTTTTCTATATACTTATTTTCAATACACATTCACACAATAAAATATTTTACACATAAATCCAAAAAAAATTCATACTTTTAGAATAATGCCATTTGTACACCTTTTGTGTACACCTTGTTGACATTATCCAACTATCAACAAATGATTGTTGTTTTTAAACCGTCCAATGATGTGTTGTCACGTGGTAAAGTATACAATTTGGTGTACACCGTGTTCGATTGTACTTCCTAATCACATATTTTTCAAAAATTCACTGTTTAAAATAATATTTTTCCAAAAAAATACCACCAAATAGGGGCTAAATGTGATTTGAATAGTTTAATAAGTAGAGTATTGAAATATATGATTTATTAAATTCAATCATTGTACATCAAGAATAAAGAGTGGATTTGTCTCTCTCTAAATTTGGAGAGTCAAACCCTCTTGGAGCTCTTTTTTAAATATTGACTTTTTAAATTAAAAAGCATTTTGTATTTAGAGAATTTCTTCGAGATGCTCTTATGCAATGAAACCCATGTTTGAACTCCATTGTCAAAAATTCATTTTTTTTCCTCAAATTCATTTTCAATCATTCATTTTTTCAATAAAATAATTTGCACATAAACCAAAAAAATTTCAAAACTTTCAACCACATATTCTCTTTAAAATCACTATTATAAAATCAATTTTCTGTAAAAATGGAGCTCAAACGGGAGCAAAATGTGTTGTAATATTCATCGTTTCTGGAACAATTATGACAATGTGGAATGTATCGCCCCAACCCGCATGGATCGAAACGTCCCCAGATTAACTTTACTTTACCCATAAACCATGGACTTTATAAAATAATTAAGTATACTTTTANAGACTTTTTACGGCCTTCAAAAAATGTGTGCCTTAAATGATCAATTGCATATAGTATTTACGGCGTTCATTTTCCACACGCCGTAAAAAGTCGCTTTTTACGGCGTACATTTTGTGCATGCTGTAAAAAATAGTCTTCAATATTTACGGCGTGCAAATGTGCACGCCGTAAAAAATCGAACGAAAAAAATTGACTTTTTACGGCGTGCGTTCGCACGCCGTAAATGCCATACGCCGTTTTCTTTTTCCCTCTTTTCTTTCTTCCCTTTTATTTTCCTTTTCTCTCTCCTTTATTTTCTTTTTCATTTGCGGAAGTCGGTTCCTCTCCTTCTTCGGTTTCTTCCTCCGTCCTTGTCCTCTCCCCCAAATTACCCCCTTCAATCAACCATCAACTTAAATATTTTGGCCAAGTTTTACTCTAAAATTGCACTAGGCAAAGAAGAAACGTAATCACTGATTGGGCCTTCGAAGAATTTCACGGCGTGAGGCGAAATCTTTTCTGCGGCGAAGACACCCAAAATCAAAGCAGTCGAATCTGAGTGCCTTGTCGGCGAACAAATTGGCACGGTGAGGCAGTGCCTCAAGGAGAAAGAAAGAGGCAGAAATGGCATCAAATGTAGACCCTAGAAACCCAGTAATCTATTTTCCTCTCCCAATTATTCTCTCGTTTTTTAATTCTATACAGTAATATTTGTTCTGGAGATTCAGATATTTCGGGTTTCTTCATAAATTTTAGTTGAATTTTCATTTTTCCATTTTCTAATAATTTGAAATATCATTTTTCGAATCTTGTTTAAGATATTGTTGTGTGATTTTAAATAGATTATTCGCTGTATATGTAAAATGAACTAAATTGTTTAGCAATCTTGATATGAATGTGATATGAACTAAATTGTTTAAGCTTGTTTGGGGGAAAGTTTCTGAGATGGGAATATGGGGGTGCTAGGAGCATGGGCGGAGATAGGGGTGGGCTGTAGCCCACCCTTGCCCAAACCCATCTTCTATAAAAAAAAAAAATTTGGTTTAAGTAGTAGAATTACTGCTATGTCAATAGCTGTAGTGGAACTGTGGAAATGATAATCTTTAATAAAAAAATGTATGTAATAGGTGATTTCCAATGTTTTTGTTAAATCATAATTGTTGCATTTCTGATGAGTTTGAGGGCTTAAAAATGAAGCTGAAATTATCTGAAAAGTAGAAAATGACCCATACGTTCTTATACCAACAAGTCAGCAGCATGCGAGGCTCAGGCAAATTCTTTTTTTCAGGTTCCTCTCTAATTTCTATCTTAGATTTTTCTTTTTCAATTTTTTTATATGTTGAATTTATATTTGATGCTCAGGTTCTTATTATTCTTGTTCTTTGCTTATTGTTTTTGTGAATTAGGGGTTTGTTATGTTTAATTATATTATTCAAGTAATTTTTTTGAATTCCACAAGACTACCAAATAAATAGTTCATATGCTCTATTTTTTCAAAATTTGGGCTTTTTTTTTTTCAATAAATGTTAAAAATGATTTGCTAACAACCAAAGGAAGAACATAATTACAGAAAGTGTATGCCAAGAAGGAAGAAAACTGAGACGCCAAGGGATTGTTTGGCGGCTATGGTTTCTATTTTCTAAGCAGTTTTCTTTATCTTCATTTGAGCCAAGGGATTGTTTGGCTGTTCATGTCCTAGATCTTGAAGATGGATGACTTTCATCTGTAAAATTTTTAATCTGTAAGGTCAACTTTCATCTGTAAGGTCAACTTTCATCTGTAAAATTTTTAATCGAATTCTTGATTTTTCTTTTCATTTTTTGAATTCTTGCCCTTGATTCTCTGTTCTTGATTCTTGAAAATATATTCTTTTTCTTGATCTATTTTTTTAATTTCGCTATAGTTTCTAGCATGTTTGGTTTAGCTTTTAACTTACTTATTTTGCTCTTATTTAGAAAGTAATTTGCTAGTGAAACTACTGTGCTAAAGACATACCTTAAATATAGTTGAAAGTAATTTGTTGCTTTTATTTGGAGTATTTACGCTCTTAAATATCACAGGAATATCTTATTTATCCAAAAGCCAAGAGGAGAAAGCGTTAACATGGTTAAATTCAGTGTACAAGGATGAGTCTTCTGATTTGTTGCCAAGCTTAAAAGCTTCTGCTGACACACTGTTGATTAGAATGGAAGATATTTTGTTTGAAGAGAGAATGAAGATCAAAATTGGTGAATGGTGTTCCGGATTGTTGCACAATACAAATGAAGGATCTCCATTTGCGTTTCTACGAGAATTCCACTTGAAGGCTTATGGTTGGAGTTGTTGCGGATCTTGTGGAAAGGTGAGCTAACTTTCAATATTTGTAATTCAGGAAAACTTAAATCTTGGATTTGTTAGAGATTAGACATGGAAATTTTGACTTCCGCATTTTACTTCACAACATTGATATCATTTAAGTCTTGAATGATGAATTCTTCTTTGCAGCAAATACATTGTGGATGTATAGTTTCATTCCATATGTTCATACTATTGGATGCAGGAGGAATTGAATGCCTGACCTGTGCGAAGAAAAGTTACATTTTGGTAAGGATAATATGTCTCCTTTTTATTGGTTTTTTTTTGTTTTGGAGGGTCCGCACTTGATTTAAGCAACCATTTAGAATTTTGAATCTTTTTCTGCGGTAGTAGGCTCGCGAGCATCATCACCCATCAATTTTCTATTTCTGTTATGCAAACACATTCCTACCTTCTCTCAGATGCCTTTGCTGGCTGTTGGCACTTATATTCTTGGGTAACCTTTGTCTCCTGTGCACTAATCACGTTCTTCCATGTATTGACACCTTGGTTATTTATTCTTTTATCCTGTGCTAGTTATTAATTGAGGTTCTTAAAGCATCATTCAATAGGGAAAACTATATTACGTATTGATTAATTTTGTTTTGTGATTATTATAGCTTTGCTGGTAAGGAAAATATAAAACATTTTTAAAAAAAATTAAATTACCATTTACGGCGTGCAGGGGCACGCCGTCAAATGTTTACAAAACACCTTTTACGGAGTGCAACGACACGCCGTAAAATGTTCACAGGCCACCTTTTACGGCGTGCAGTAGCACGCCGTAAAATGTTCACAGACCACCTTTTACGGCGTGCAACTAAAAGTCGTACCTTACTTTTTACGGCGTGCCTTTGCACGCCGTAAAAAAAACACTTTTACGGCGTTCCCTTACGGCGTCCTATGCACGCCGTAAAAGGTACACCACTTTTTATGGCATGGCTTTATATGGCGTGCGGTCGCACGCCGTAAAGAGGTTTTTACGGCATGCATTGCACGCCGTAAAAAGTGTATTTTGTTGTAGTGAGTTCAATACCAAAAGAAACAATTCAAAAATGTCATTAAAATATTTCCCATGTATACATCCACAATTGACGTCAAATTCTAGGCAAAACTTTAAAAAATAAAAGTTGTTGTTTTGTTTTCTATCTTAAGCGACAAATGACAAAATAAATTCGTTTGCATAGTTATCGACTTCAAAACTTCATGAAATTTTAATGTAAAGTAGAAAACTTCTTATAGTATGACATATCCAAAAATCAACTTCCGTGGCAACAAATAGTGTATTAAAATATTTTCTAAAACCCCGCAGTGACTAGGTTTGGAAAGTAACTCAACACAGTTTTACTTTAAGTGCTATATAAAATCCTACTCATATTGAAATGACATGATCCCAGATCTATTCAATAACTGACTCATGAGGCTATCAAACCCCACTAGTTTTGTATGAAAATTCCAAGTAACGTTTGAGTTATGAATTTTTGAAAGCAAGGGCAGAAGCTGAAAACAGCATCCACACCCACTGCAGCTTACTTTAAAGTGATGTATAAAAATTTTACCGACATCGGATTGACATGATTTTGAGTTCATTCAGTAGCCAACATTTAAGGCTATCATATCCAATTAGTTTCGTCCAAAAACTTCAAGTAAGAAGTGAGATATAAATTTTTGGAACTAAGGGCAAAAAACTGAGATTTTAAAAGAGACATCAAAATTTTAAAATCGCTAACTCTTTTCTTCTATAAACAATGATATTTAAATTAGTTTCCGTGACACATATCTACTTCCAAACATAATTTATTCTTAGAAAGGAAAAATACTCTTAGCATAGTTCCACGCATGACGTCCATAGAAATTCTTAAGAAACAACGTGAACATTTTATAATCGAATTGAAAGTTATTAAGTCACTGGCTTTCTCCATAACATGTTGCATCATCCTCTACTATCATCCACGCCCCCAAGAAAAGTCAATCAACCTGTAGAAGGCAATTAACCCATGAGTTTGAAACTCAATACATATCATTGGTGCATTTCGTTATCAAATTAACATTTTCGAACTATAAATTCATACCGTCGCACGTAGTAGGATTTCCGGCAAAATCCAATTTTTATAGAGTTATGAATTAACATAAAGCATAGAACCGGAGAATGATCATTCCAACTATAGTAGTGTTGTAATACCGTACCCGAAGGCACTAATTCATTCAAACTTTTAACGAAAATCATAATTTCAAAACGAAACAAACACTTGCACCTCTTCCTACCTTTGTTTAA